GCGGCCCACGGCGGGAGCGGGGCGGTCACGCAGCCACGCACCCACGGGAAGGGGTGGGGCGACAGCTCGGGAGGAGCGGCAGGCGGGGAATTTTAACACCGAGCTGTAGGAGAGCCAACCGGGGGAGAAGCGTGTCACTAGAAGCGCTAGGCACCGGAGAGCAGATAAGTGCTTTTTACAGATCTGGTGTCGTACGTCAGGTTTTTGCTCTAGACCAAGTAGACCTTACCTCGTGGAAGCTTAGAATGATTTCCGTGGCCTTGAGGAAAATACAGAATTAGGGTAGATGCTGGGAATACTGAGAAAATCCATTGTTCCTTCCTCTCAAACTACAATATCTTTTCTCTCCACCACCAGTTTCCCTTTCCCAGACGTTTAACATAAGCATCTAATTATGAAGAAGAAACAATATTTAACTTACCTTTCTGTTTCTACTCCATTCCTTCTTCCAGAAGTCCAGTATCTTTAAAACAACACTTTTTCAAGCTGATCATTTCTTCTCATTCCACGTGGACCAATCACGCCTGTTACTTTTTCCCCAGAATCTTGTTTGCTCCCTTTCCTGGTCTGTAAATCCTTACTCCTCCTTTGCCTACATGGTTGAGAGACTGCCCAGTGCCTGCAGCCAGAGCACCCCGTTATGAACAAAAGCATCTCCAGGCTTGCCGATCCCTTTGCTGGCTAGGGATGGGATGAGAATTGCCACAAAAACAGGACTAGGCACGGGTAGCTGGCCAAAGGACAGGGTAGCCACAGCTCACAGCAATTAGTTAGGGCACACAGTTGCAAGACTATTAAATACACAGTTTCGAAAATAAAAATCCTAGCAGCCTCCTCTTAGCCTTTTATGTAGAATAGGGTCTGCAAGGTAGGAAGGAGCTGAGGAAATGAAATGAGGTTGGACATGCCACAGTTCATAAAATCACTTGGGATGGTACCCGTGTCTGTTCCTATCCTGTTCTTTTCCCCCATTCTCATATCATATACTGGTTTCCAGATAGCTTCAAGGTTTTGCCTGTGCTAACAATCCTTTCCCTCTTCTCAGCCTCACTTATACTTCATAAAAAATGGTAATTAAAGACAAGAATGAATATTCTCCTTAGCTTTGTATCGTGTTACTCCTGGGGTCTTTTTTTTCTATTGTTGCTCCATCATCTTTCATTCTTTCTTTCTGGACAGAAAAAAACCCATCATAATTTGTTCTTCATCCACAACTCTCCAGCTGCCTATTTATTGCTTGAGCAGCAAGAGCTCCTAGCTCTTACACCTGTGGTAGCAATTATCATGCCATCCAATTAGCACATTGCACACTCCCCAAGAGTTTCATTACCACACAGCCAGATAAGCCATTTCCTTTTGGGAAGGCATTCCTTCACCAAGTGGTCTAATAACAGACCCCTGTCTATTTAGCCTCCTGTGAGGAAAATCCCGTGATTTTATGTGAGGGAGGGGGGCTATAAGGAACAAAGGTTACTCTGCCTAAGGCAAGCATATCAGTTTGAGAAAAACATTCTCCCAGTGCAGTGTTCCAATATCTCTGTGCCCTGTTAGATGCAGACACCAACCTAAGAGGGCACAACTGTCAATTCTTTTATGCAAGGCTGATACCACTGGTAGTCTCAATATTTTTATTTTTTTAAATAAGATCCCGTGTGATGGATGCACCCACTCTGATTGAGTGAACAGTACTTTGCTTCAGGCATCACTGATAAGTAGGTCTGACTGAAATCAGCCCTGCAGTGCAAACACTGAGAGCTATGCTAGGCCATATCTTCTCAGGAACTAAGGAATTCAGGCCATGTCTTTTCAGGAGCTAAATTACTAGCCTGAGCTGGGACTAGACAAAACTGAACCTGCTACAACTGTACATACACCAAAAAGGGGTCTGACTACAAGTCAATCACTTTATGCTATAAATACCTGTAGCCCACTGAGCTCTCCTGTCACTGCTTGGCGATAATCTCCCCCTTGAGCAGGGATGCCTCTCAAGGTTACTCCTTGAGGTTGAGAGACCCCCTTACCCAGCATCTGATATTTATAAGCAACATCTTACATTAGGCCTAAAAGCATATTGTATGCTAGCAGCATTTTTAGATATATCCAGCTATAGCTTAATTATTATGAGTGCAGTAAGTAGTAGAGTGTTTGACTAGTCTAAATTATTGTTTGAATCATAATTTAAATCACTGTCAAATCACTGTTTAATTAACATTCAATTACTGGTTAGTAATCATTCAATTACCATTTATTTTCAATTATCATCAATTAATTATCATTTGATCTTCATTTATTAGTAAAACCCTTTTAGCTAACCCCACAATGGTGACTTCTCTTATTAATTTACCTGCAACACCCCCCTGCATGCAAAAGACTCAAACCTTAATTTAGAATTAAATTGCTATCTCCTGTCACTTAAAGCAGCCAGGAGCATCTTAGGTTTTACAAAACCAGGGAACAGTTACGCAAAGTGACTTAGTACAGTCCAGTACGTGTGTCTTTGGAAGAAACTCCTCAAGCAGGACACAAACTTGTATTACTGCTGTTCTTTGTGATTCTGTCCCTCTTGTGCAGAGGAAAGCTTTTATCAAGAGCCGGTTTGTACTACAGATTGGATTTCCATCATAAATGCTCACCCAAATCATTCTATACTTCTACTACTCTGTTTAGCAGCAATTTTAATACAATACTATGCCCTGTATGTTGCAAACAGAATATTCACAGACAACAATTGCAATATTCCAAAACCAACTTACTTTGTTGTTGGTACATAGTGAAGCTGTTCAAGAAAAACAATGATTAACACTACAGAGTAAGTTAAACAAGAGGTGCCAGTGTGTTTTGTAGGGAAAAAAATTGAACCTACCTGTAAAAAGTTCCATGAAGACATGGCCTTAGGTCTTCACAGCAATGCCGTAAATTCAGTGGGTTTCCAGGTAAATACATAATAGCTGCAAGCAGAGCTTCTTGAAGACAGAAGGCCCATGTTACCTCTTTGTCCTCAAATTTGTCAATTCTACTAGAAAGCCTAGAAAAAGCGTACCAACTTAAGCAACTACAAACACATTCTCCGTACATGAACTGCATTTTAGTAATTTCTTGTTTGTGTAATTTTAATTCTGTAGATTCATCTACAAGGAGGTGACAGATCTTGAGAAACCTTAGCCTTGATAGATTTTCTTTGGCCAGCCCACATTTGTTTCTGATTCAGGACAAAGAATGAGGACAGTGTTAGTGTCTCTAGAGGTCAAATTTACTGCCTCTGCACTGTGTCTTTAGCAAATAAAGGATGAACTCTGAATTTAAACCAATTTTGCCCTACTACTCTCTTTATTCTAACATCAATTTACCAAAAGAATTTAGAAATTCATGTCTCCTTTTTTTGCTTAGGAATTCAATTCACTAGAGTGAAAACATGTTAAGACAGATTTAATGACTACTTTCAAAAGGACTTTCTGAATCTGTTGCAAAATGTTATCTTTCAGAAAAGGTTGATAAATTGGATCATACTTCCAGTACATCATAGATTAAAGCAACTAGAGATTAATAAATGAGACTGCATATGCTGACAATTTGAATTCATTAAATAGTGCAATGTTTGATCATACAAAATTGACAAGATCTGGCTTAAGTATAAGACCATGGAAAGACTAGCCTCTTCCAGAAGCAAGCATTGTAATCACAAATGTGTTAAACAGCCCATTTCTTAAGTACATGTGTGTGTGCGCTTTGCCTGAGCATCTGGAATGCCACCCACTCTTCCCTACGCACTTCATGTAGGCTTAGGGATATGAGAGAAGTTGAAATGCTCCTCAGTTTCAATTACTTGCATTTGCCATTATTAAATTTAATCTGCTATTATACTACTTGCTCAACAGCCTTACTGGTTCTGACCGAATGTTCCTTAGCCACTGTGTTTTACATAGAATAAATAATTGTGAAAGACAAATTTTGGTGCCTTGGCGTTTTTTTTTTTTTTTTTTTTCCAGGCACTTGGTAAATGTCTAACATCTGTTTTAATGGCACATTTTTGTGGTTTTCTGGTTTGTTGTGTTTTGGTTTTGGTTTTTTTTTTTTTTTTCCAAAAAGGCTAGTAGTTCATTCCAGTTTTGATTTTTATTTATTCTGGCTTGAAAAGTTTTCACACAAGAAACTAAAGAAAAAATATCACAGAATACAAAATGGCTTCTGAAAATCTATTTTTCTCAAGCACTTTTCCTTATTGTAGGATAAGACACAAAAAAGCTAGTGCAAATATTTTAGAACAGTTGTGTTCATTTTTCCTTAAAAATTGTTAGCATTAAGCCATTTTTTAGAGCTATTTTTTAAAATCTGAAATAAGAAAGCACAGGTAGCACTTGGTGCTTTTCCTTTCCCGATGAGAACTAGACGCTAGTGGCTAAGCTTCAGCATGAATTTTCTCTGAGGCAGTGCAGTTGGCAGCAGCTGAGGCACTTCATTCTCAGTGTAATACCTTGATAACTTGTGCCTTCAGCCTGTTTTAAAAGGTAATTTTACTAAACACTGCACTGGTTACGTGACTGCTCTGATTTTCTGCTATGATACTGTTATTTCTGAAATGCAAAATGTAAAATGCAAACTAACTCATTTCTAGGAACTTCCCCTTCAGAATGAGAACATTAGGTTTGAGAAACTAGAGGTTTCAATAATGGAATTCCCTTTACTATTAACTGATTTAGACTTCACCTCCTTGTTATTTACTTCACAGTTGTGTAATAAGTACCTTGTCCTTCTGAATACCTTTGTTGTATACAAATTATGCTTACCATCTGACTGCTTCAGCTGCTGTACTTCAAGAAGAAATTCCAAGATAAACTGCTACCCCCAATCCTGTAATCTTTCACATTTAATTTCTTTACATGTGGTAGCAACTTGTATTCCTTGTAGCCACTGAAATTTAAAAAATCCTGGTTTTAGTAAACATGTGCAACAAAAGTGCCAAAGTTTGTTACCCACTTAACAAAAAGAGTCGTAACACATTCTGCAAATACATTTATTTATTGACAAGATCTCAAGCTCACCTGAGACCATCCATCTAGAATGTGCATTTCAAAAGTATATTTGTACATCAGACAGGTACAGTAATAACACTTTGTTAGCAAGATTACAAATTAACATCTTGATTTAGTTTGTCATCAAGATTCAGATTTACAGGAAAGTCCTTTGTGTTTACATTCAGCAGGACCTCCAGTCAGTGGGGTTGAAGGAAGGTTTGTCTTACATAAAGTTCCAGTTTGTGAGGACCACACCAGGAGAACATGACTTACCTAAGCTCTGATTCACCAGGTGATCAATGACTTGTAGCCCAAAGTCACCTAAATTTTTTTGTTGCTCCGTAGCACAGACCCACCAGCCACCACCTGACCTGCTTAATTTCTTTGTCACATTAAAACTCTTCCTGCTTCATCTGTATTTCCATTTGCTTATATCATAGTATTGACCTCCTATGACTTGTCCTGCAAATACTCAACAGTGGTCTCTGCATCCAATTGGAAGCTGCTGGTTTTTACTCCAGTTCTTTGGTAATCCAGAATTACTCTTCTATAATGTTGCCCTCACTCCATCATGTATGAAGTAAGCTTGAGGCCCACCTCTGCAAAGCTGCGAATGAGGTTCATGAGACACCTTTCTCTAGACATCAGGAGAAAATACTGCTACCATTTTCCTAGGGAATCATCCTCCTGCTCAAGGCTGCCAGTCCACTTCTGTACCAGTCCCTGCCACTACCAGACTACCCTGCAGCAAATGAAAGGAAACAACCTTCTAGCCCCTACCACTATCCCAACAACACACTTGCCCTACAGCTTCGAAAGCACTGCAGTATCCCTCAGCCTGGATACCCTGCAGGATTTCAGACAGGCTCCAAACTCTTCCAGTCAGGAGCATGCCATGAGCCACAGGAAGGTATATGCCAAAGCTAACCTAGCTCCAACTCACCCCGGCTACGTCCACAACCTACCATCCCATTGAGTGAAGGATTTTGCTCGGATAGCAGTTGCTACGAGCTCCCATAACAATATTGCTTGCTCTTACATCTCACAGAAGAGGTACATACAGACATATGCGAGAGCGTGACTTGTATGAGCTTTATGCAATGGCCCTGAATGTAACAAACAAGAAAAATGAAGTGGTGTTTAAAGACAGGTATTTTAGACTACTGCTGACCACTTTCTACGACATGGTTTTACCTTTACATGGCTTTTTAATACTCATTTATTGACCTATTCTGCCTCCGTCCCATCACTGCTCTTGTCCCACCTGCCTTCGTCCAACCTTGAGACAGTCTGGCTCCTGCCCATCTAATCATTGCCTTCCAACAATGACAAACCAAGCCACTCTGACAAATAGTTTTTATTCACAGCCCAACACTGAAGCGAGCGAAGTTTTCAAAAAAATTCTGGTAAAGGCATCAAGCCTTGCATTCTCCACATTACTGTACAATAGGGCTCACTGAAGTAGTACAGTCTGGAGGTGGCATCTGACCTGACATTTATTTTGCCTTGGGGCAGCAGTCAAACCACAGAGGACCAACAAGTCACTCAAACACACACAGTAACGAGGCTATGGCCCTCTACTACCAGTCAGCTGCAGTTATATCATCGTGCTCTCTGACAGACCAGGTCATCTCATCTGTGGCACTGCACTGGCCGAACAGTGCAGTACATTACTTGCTTCAAATGGCAGAAATGCCCATCTGAGCCTGGGTCACACCCCTGACACGGCGCTGCGCTAGCTGAACAGTCATACACGTTGGCAGCCTTGAGTCAGATTGGCAGCAGAGTTGATTACTGCTACTGCACTGGTAAGAACCACCCCTACTCTGTGCTGCAATGGAAGCAAATAACCTGAAGGAGCTGCCAGTAAATACTGGAGCAAGCACTGAAACTTCCTCATATAGCTACCTGTATCCCACATTTGGAATCTATAATCTTTGCTCATCTCCTGTGCAGTTAACTTTCTGCACTTGCACTTCTGTTCAAACCAGTTTAGCTCCTTAAATATCCACATGCCAACTTGGGGAACTCAGATGAGGTCCAGACATCATCTTAATTAACTTACCGGATAATGCTAAAAACAAACAAACAAAAAAAAACCAAACCACACACAGCAAGAGAATCATATGATGTGCATTCCCAGAGAACAAGAATTCAGCTAGATTGCTAATGCTAACAGTAAAATTAGGGAGAATGTTTTTCTTGAGTCAGTCAGTGCTGAGTAAGGGCAACTGATAAGCAAGCAAACAGGCAGAACACTGATATGACCATTTCTTCTAGCTAGGAGTAAATTCCTACTTTTGACTAGTCATAGGTAGACAGCTAACATGAATAGCAGGGAACTGTAGGGAATGAATCTATATTCAAGATACTCTAATTCATGCACAGCACATATATACCAGCCTGAAGGAAGAAGCTGAGTTTCAGCCTATACAGAGGAGTAACATACTTCAAGTATCTCCTCTTGGGAACAGGAGATCAAGAGTATGACCAAAAGCCAGGCACACAGCAATACTCGGTCATAACTTGAGTTCATTTGGTCATGAAGACAAGCCCTTAAGCATTTAGTTCCAATTTAAACCACAAGTTATATACACAGTTTAATTAAAGCACTTCCACATTTAATTTAAACAAAATAGGTTTTATCAGAAAGTTACACAAACCCAAAAAGCTTTATTTTTCAAAACCATACTTTATTTTTAAAGGCTAAGAGAAGTACTCAGAACTATATTTCTTAAGCAAAAAGATTCACATTTCATTCTGCAGAGTCATTAGTATGAGAAAAAGCATTTGGGGATTTATTTTTTGCAACTGTTGTTGAGGTCCTACACCCATCCTGATTTATTTAAAAATGGTAACATCAGTTATGGCTTAAGATACAGAATTACAAGAGTATCACAAATGTTGAGACTCAAATGGTAAACAGGTAACTATGGTTATTTTTCCACAGAAAGATAATGTTTTAGCCAAGACAAACAGAAGCAACAACTGTCTTTACTGGTAGACAAATCAACTGAACATCATCAGCACAGACACTGCTTCAAGGATACCCACGCTGTTAATCCGCAACTGTTAGGAAAATGTTGTGTTTGCTCCAATTACCGCACCTTTTCCTCTGTATCACAAGCCTCAAAAACATGGAAGTATGAAACCATGACAACAGCTTTTTGTTTTGGGTTTTTTTGGTTGTTTGTTTTTTTTTTTTTTTCCTTTTTTTTTTTTTAAAGAAAAAGATACAAGAAAAGATGGAAGACTACAGTATGCAGTGAAGGAAGAGTCATCACCTCTAAAGAGACAGCAGGACTTTGGCCAAGAAATTTTAATCAGTAAGCATCTAAGGACTCAAACCGACTCAGAACCCAGAGCTGCAATTTTGTTGGGTATTCTCCCCTTCACTGATTTGTAACTCTGCATTTACATGTTCTGGATGGCTTGCATTCAGTGGGACAGAGGTAGTGATGGGAACAAGATTCCTTCCCTAAAGTTTCCAAATAGATGAAACCTGGTAAGCATGGCCCCAAGAAAGGGCAAGTGCAACCAGCGGAGGACCTGCCAACTGGGAAAGGACAAGAGCACAAGCACAGACAGTAAGCTGCTCTCCCATACCCAGACTGATAAATAAAATGTGACATAAAGGTGCTGGACAAGAATTGAGCAAGTAACAAAACCTTTGTGGCCTCTGCAGTACGTACGCCATGCCAGGTTGTGCAAAGGATAGGACTGTACCTTTGCTGCACAGTTGTAGTGACCAAAATATTACATTATTTGCAGTACTGCCAGAAGTTCCAGTGTGTAACTAGCTAGCATGGTTATACTGATGATTTTAATAGCTATATAATGTCAGTCACCCATTTTTTTTTTTTCTTAAAAAAAGGACTTGTATTTGCAGACAATTCCTTTATCCAGTTAATTTTTCAGACTTGTCCCACATTTGCTCTTTGTGACTAGGCCAACTTTTCTGTCCTAAGGGGATTAAGACAGACTTCAACTGTTAAAGCTCTTCCTCTTTGCTCACTCAGAGTAATTAAAAAAAAAAAATCCAAAACAACAGCAGGTTTTTGTCTTACACTCCTGGAATATTACAATTTCTTACAGGAGTGTTCACTGAAAGGAAACTGTCTGTAATACTTGAAGTAAAAGGCTGCAACTCTTGGACAAGGAGGGATGGTTGAAACTAGGTCACCTGAATATAATTTGAGTGCTGTAAACCAATCATTGAATAAAGTCAACACTTGGGGCTGGACAGCATTTCTCTTTAGAACACCCCCTTTCTCTTAAGATGACCAGAGGTACAATGGTTTGTTTTATTGCAACACTGGTTAGCCAAATCCAATCCTTCCCATTCAGATATGATTTTTAAGAACCAGGGATTTTATGGTTTACTGCCAAATTTGGAGGACAATTTACTGATGAGATTCATGACCTTGGGATTGTTCTGGTACTTGGACATATTTTCTGGGTTCCGGGCAACATCTTGGAATGCAACCATAACTTCTGGATCCTGCAGGACAAAAAGTAAAAAATTAATGCATTTATAAAACAAGTCTACAGAAGTTAGTGGGTGTGTGGTTCCAACATAAATCTAGTCTTGCTCAGCTTTTAACATGACAAGACTAGATTAGAGTTCTGGGCATGTTGTTAATGGTGCATCAGTAAACACCAGTCATTACTGAACTTGTTGCAGTAATAGGTGCACGTGAGAAGGGGCGTAAGAGTTGTTCTCTCCCAAAACACCAGCCAAACCCAGCCACACCTACTAGATTATTTATATTCAAGCATCTTCAAATGCATTTTGAAGGAGGCAGGAGCTCTATGTGTGCAGTATGCACAATAGGATAACTCTCCTGTGAGCAATAGCTGCTACTCATCCCTTTCACCCCTTTTCCTTCTAGCAGCAGAAACTTTAATCTGCTGGACTGAGCAGATGATGTGGCAATGTTTGGCTTTTAAAAATGCATCTAATTCTCAGTCATTCCGCACCTCCTCTGAGAAATCATACTTGGAAGAGAACCTTATCATCTCTCATCACACTACTGTGTTGCAGTTGATAAATACATTCACATACACTAAAGTCAGTAGTCAAAAGTAACTACTTCATCTTATCTATTTAGTATGAGAACCATGAATACTTTTTTTCTGTACTTTGGTCTCCATTTAACTAGAATTGGTTTTACCCATTTTACACGTGCATGTTTTGAACAGTGCCCTTAAAAAATCTGTATAGACCAATTCTGCATCTTAGCCTGCAAAAATGTTTCCATTATAAGCAACTCTGCAAAGGTTCAAGTTTTCTTTAATTCAGCTACAGTGCGAGCAGTTTATTATGTCCAATACAAATCATCTGCATTAGCTTTTATTTCACCTGGTTGTCTTTCTAGCACATTTAAGTAGTTTCACTGAAAGATACAATCTTCTTTAGACTTCTAGCTCATTGATACTGCAGATGTATTCTTTGGACAGCATCAAAAACCAACCAGTGTCCTCAGAGCTGCCTGTGCTACAATAACACCATCCTGTATCTATTCTAGCATCAGACACAGACAAAAGCTGTTTAACAAGTCTGATGCAAAATTGCATTTGGTAGGTGCGGACTCCACTGAAATCACCCACATGGTTCAGTTATGTTTATACATATTGGGAACCAAGAGTCAAGTCTTATTTTTTTGTTAGTAGGATTTACAAGTGTTTTGTCTCCTTCAAAAAAGTGAATCTGCAAAGTCTACGAGAAATAGGATACTGAAGTTGAGAAAACAGAAACTAGATATATTTTCTCTTACAGGGTTCCTATGCAAATAAAAAAAAAGGTAACGTTCATAACCTCAAACTCCTGGAATTTCCAATTTCAAAATAGGGCATGTGACTAAAAAGATCATGTAATGTTATTAAATATGTGTTTTCACCTCTATATGAATCTGGAAGAAAACGCTGAGTAAGCTTAATCACTGCATTGTGTCAAAGCATACCTAAATGAATGTTAAATATCCGATTTTATGCTATCTGGTTTATGTCCTATAAATTCACAGCAAGTAAATTATTCTGTACTTATACATCACCCTGGAAGCCCTCAACCTTTCAATGTCTTCATAAAAATGCCTAACGCATCCAAGGTTCCACACTGATGAGCAGTATTACCAGAATAAAGTTTAAGACTGAGGATATCAACATTTCCATAGGGAAATATTGAGTATGTAACGTGGAACAGGAACCACTGTATAAATGACATTTGTGAAACATTCAGTTTTCTAAATGCTCTAGTCTTCAGTTGCAGAAAGATGAAAAATGCTTCTAAGGAAAGTTATCACTATTCTTTTTTCCAACTTGCACATTCTGCTGAAAGTCTGTGTCTAATGTATGACTACATGTCAAATAAGAAATCCATAGGTTCATCTTACACATCACTCCTTTTGAAAAGAACTTGTATTTGACACATGACAGCTCTCAAACACAAATGTCATGTTGTGTCCAGAGAAAGCAGTTACGCATGCAAGACAGGAGTACAGTACCCTCCAGACAGCCAAAATAGTAAAACAGAGAAACACACAAAAATTTCAGCCAATTCTTTAGGAAACTAAAAAACTTATGGGCTAATGAGCTAAAAATAACATGCATTATAAGTCATTGCAAAAGGTCACAACTAATACCAGTAAGTTATGAAAAGAAATGCAACAGAAGTTTCGCCACTTTGAGTCTTTTGTGCATAAAAGACTAATATCAGTCACAATTAAAGAAAAAAGAAAAAAGGAAACATCCTGAAGACAATAAATCTTCAGGTAATGGAACTGGAAATCTTCATTAAGAAGGAAGTTTTTATACTACTTTGCAGAGATTCTTCTATGTATGCCGATGACGAACAATAACTTCTATAAACATGTCCACAGGAAGCCATATCTGGTTCTTGGGTTGCTTCCACAGATGGCAAGCCGAAGTTGACAGCATAATTGGTTTAAGCTAGCTCGTGTTCAGGCACACACAGTTGTAATGTTCCCCCAAGATGTTAACAGACTCAGGCATATTTCAGTATAGGCTCATGGAGAATAGTCTCAAAGATGATGAGACAATAAACATTAAGTCTAAAGAGATTGAGGTCTTTACTCTCAGACTACTCCAGTTTCAGCAATAACTCCTCACTGTGAAAAGCCTCTACATCCTGTCAGTTAAAATACTATTTTAAGATTAGCAATTCGGGAGAGACTTGTGTGATTCAGTATCTTCAGACTTTTTCGTAACACCTCCGGTAACCTGTGTAATAGCTGCCAGCTACCATTATCCATCAACATATTCCAAAGCTGCATTAAGCATAAGCCAAGCAGTAGAAAGCACTGTCTTTTAAGACTAGCACTTACACTGCCTATTCAGAGAGGACCAGAACATAGTGAGTCGGACATTTTAGGAAAAGGCGGCAGTGCAGACATACGTGAAATGCTGAATAAATCTTATCTAGATGTAAAGTTCATACAAGAGGTCAGCGAAAGACTCAAGGCTTTGCTGGCAGGTTCTACGTGTTAAAGCCTGTCTGCCTTATCAGAAAACACCATCAACACACATTCTTGCGACAGAGTCCTATGATATATTAAGGCATATATAATCTGCATGCAACAGTCTTAAAAGTATGTGGCAAGCACTTAATGTTTAGCTGCACCTCAAAGCTCTGTTTTCAGCAACTCTAGTTTCAAACCCCTGTATCACAGCATAAATTAGCCAGGTAATGAATGCAACTACAAGTCATGGGCTTTTTTTGCATGGTTTGCATGCAAGTCAGCATTGCTGACTGTGGCAGCCTGAGTAAAGGTGTGTTTCCAAACATCAGCAATCATTAAGGGAACCCATTAACTTTTCCATGGAAAGTGATGCCTCTTTCTGATTTCAGGGCATACAAAATAATGGTCCCTTGTGATGCTTTTATTTAAATGGGGATCACAGCTGTTCAATGAGTTGAGAACACCATGTAACTCTAGTATAATCACAGCAATCCAGAAAAAGTACCAAGACGCATTTATACTTGATCATATTAGTACACATATAACTGTATAGCTCAGATTTTTCCTAGCCCACCCACCCCTAGAACTGATGTTATCAGATATATTCTATTTAATCTTCTGGGATACTTCTCTTGCATAGAAGTAGTCATGTCATTGAGCAATTAATCAAGCACACTGGGCAAGGAAGCTTTCTGAACAGGAATTCAGAATATGCCAAATGCAGAACTACTCTGATACTACTTTGCCTCTAGCAAAAACCAAACACTTAATCCCCTAAGAGAGAGGCAATTCTCATCTCAGTATTATTGTAAGGTATTGTGTTGCAACAATATTAACAAGCACCTTTTGTTTGTGCATAACTATCTTGCCACAATGTGTGTGCATTCAAAAAAGGAGCAAGTGAATTACACCGTGTGGAAAATAACCATTGAAGAGACTCAAAAGAGATGAAGAACTCTATAGAGCACGTGGTTTTGTCTATCATAGGTGAGTATGCGGCAGCAGGGGTCAAGAGGACATCCTTAATTAAGCTGCTATAAGTTTGAAAAATAGCTAACATTGATTCCAGACAGTCTGGTGCCACACACACAAAGAAAATTTTACAACAGAAGTAAGCAAGCATCCCACTGCTATCCAGAAGGTCACACCTTTCTTTCTTCCCTTAGCTCATACACGCTGTTGTTCTCGTTCAGAACATTCGGCTTTGATTTTAACAAATACTAACCTGCATGGCTGCAAGGACTTCTGGATCACTGAGAATCTCATTGAGACCTGGCATACCTGCCATACCTCCAGGCATAGCCCCAGGAAATCCACCTGAAAACACAAGACAAGAAGAATGTAGGATGAAAAACATTTAAATTTATCTATATGGGATGCTCACTGAGAGCAAGACATACTTCCTTTGCCACACCTCTAAAGCCACGTCTCCCTTTAGACCAGAGCTGGTCCACTGAATGGGAAGCAGGGTCTTCACCTTCCCTTTCCACAACGACCTATATCCTATTTCATCCATGCTTTTAACCCAATTGAACAGGAGGATTGTAATGAGTGTCACGTTCTAGCACCTTGTTCACAGACACAGTTATTTTTCTGGTTAACTTAAATCAGGTAGGTCTTGAGCCCAGGAACATAAGGAGTTCGAACACCTGGGGCAAAAGCAGATCAGCAGTAGTATGTCCCAGGCACATTCCATGTTTGGCAGGAACTTTAGGTTTGAAAAAATTGTAGGACCAAAGGAAAAAAAAAAAAAAAAAAAAAAAATCCCTGTAGCAAAATGCTTCAGGTTCTGTTTTTGAATCCTTAATTAGCAGCTACCCCGGCTGTGCTGAGCAGGGTAGATATTGTCCCTATTTGGTTCCCCCAATAAGCTGATACAGTCGGAGCATGCACACAGCCTATCTCAATTACATCTCAATCTTCAAGAGCATTAGTACTTACTCTTATTTGTCCCTAGTTTATTGTACCCCAAAATAACATGCAAACCCCAATTTTCACGGAACTACTCAAGGACAGCTTTTATATAAGATCAACTGCACTACCTCCTTTAAGAAACTATTCTGTTCAACAATAGCTTGCAACCAGCACACATTTCCCTAGTACTCAATCCAAATTTTCAACTTTAAAACTATTGTTCTTAAGCAGAATGGGTCCAAGACACCCTGGGTAATCTAGAAAACATTTTTATACTAGTTTTTCAGCATGTATTATTAAGCAAATACTGCATCTGTGCCTTCTCAGACCTAAATGCTTTCATTCTGTTGCTCATCTTTATTGATTTCTGTCTTCCCTCTACTTGCTACCCAGCACCAATCCTCTTTAAGAATGCCATCCCTCTTCCCACTAGTGCTCAAAGAGTTATTTGTAGACGAGTTCTAAACTTCTGTCTTAAGAACAAACGCTATAAAACCCACATTTCTAATACTCCACAAACAGTCACCTCTACCTCAAGTACTGATGCTTAAAAATAAAATACCTGGGAAGCCACCTGGGAAACCACCAAATTGAGCTCCTCCTGCCTGTCGTCTTGCTTCTTCCTCCTGCAGATGAAAGCACATCATTCCACACAAAGCAATGGAACTGCAGCCTGTTTTCTACTGCTCAGCTTGTTTTAGGAGAAAAAAAAGTAGCCAAGACTGTTTCAGGCAGGTAGGCTATCACAATAAACAAACCACTTCACTACTTACAAAACCACTGACAAGAAACAGCCATGTCTACTCTTACTTCAGTATGTTTTGCAGGTAAATTACGCAGAGTATATTTTTACTGGATATGAACTGTATGATTTGTTTTAGCTCCTCAACTTACATTTTAAGAACTAACTCCCACCCACAAAATATTAAAATATATTAGTAAAGCATGAAGAAAAAAGCAAGCAAACTGTCAGGAAGTGAGGAGGAGAAGGAAAGTATTGTCCTGAATTTAAAACTTCCCACTTCGGGAAACATAAGTACTTCATGTGAAAATTATTCTGGTACAGTCATACAATTACTGACTTCTTGAAAAACAGGATTAGTAGGAATTCCAAAGCCTGTTTTTGTCATAAGCAATAAAATCAGATGCAGTACAATGGCCTCTTTTCCAGCCTTCATTATTGGTCAAGTAACCAAGACAGAATTAAATTTTGGAGAGTTGATTTCTAAGACTTAAAATGAAAGTAATTCTTCTCTGCAATTCATTTTAACCAAAATAACTATGACACTATCCAAATTATTAAGAAATATTAAAGCCTAAGTATTTACCCTTTGTGCTCTCTCATGCTCCTCCCGTGCCTTCTTCACTCTTTCCATTCTTTCCTTGATTTCCTTTTCTTCACGCTTCCGCTCATATTTTCGGCGATGTTCTGCAATTTTCTGAGCCTGTTACAATGGAATATCAAGATTTCATATACATTTCTAGCATCTCACACAATGTATTTCAATACAAAATGCATGTAAGCGTAAGCACCTGCTTTTACCAGTTCTTAAAAATAAGATCTGACTTCACATCCTAGAAGCCCCTTTGCTTTAGAAGCCATTTGCTACTTCTTCTCCATGGCAATCAGTTATTCATGTCTACTCTGCCCTAACCAGATTCACCAGAACACATACTCCAGTATACTTTTTTGCTATAGAGCTCTGGGATTTGTGCCACAGATAGAGCTTAACACAATCATTCCATGTCCCTTTGTGCTTTATGCTGAAATATTTCTCCAGGGCTAAAACCAGCAACTGCCCAGGAAACGGGAATTTTCACTGGCACAACAGGAAGTATAATTCCTCCTGCACATGCTTTTTAGATAGTGTTATTGCTGTTCCCGATGCCTCTGCAACATATATAACAAGACATAAGCAAACCAAAGAATTCCTGAACCAAACCTAGAAAGGTCTGGTGGGGAGAAAAATCTTCTTCCTATTATTGGCTTTTAATCAAGTCTATCAAAGCTACAGCCCCAGCAGAAGAGGGTAGTTAGCAATGAAGTCTCCAAGGCTCCTCTCACTCAGGGCTCATTATAACAATAGAACACTAACTGTAGCACTGCCTTCCTGAAACCAGACCGTATCCTTATATACCATGGCAAAAAATGGTTCGTGATTTCACAAACTGAATGTGATGGTTACCCAGTAACACTCCTGTAACTGAAAACCAGCAAAAACAGAGATACTAACTAGTACTACAGATACACTTCTATTCTTTCAGAATACTCTTTAAGCAAATAAATTATTTCATAAATAGTGAAGTTTCGATACAACTTATGTTAGCTAGAAGATATTAATTCCATACCACAACATTCTTGAAGTATATTTGCCAGAGAAAGTACACTGCAGGCAGCAGGACTGACTGACAGTGAATGTAGTATGTGTTATCAGAACCTGATGTTACAGCCATTCAATAGCTCATGAAAAGAGAGGTAAGTGTCTTGTGGTTTGGGTTTTTTTTTTGTGTGTGTTTTTTGTTGTTGTTTTGTTTGGCTTTTCTTTGTTTTGTTGTGGGGTTTTTTTTTGTTTGTTTGGTTGTTTTTTTTTTTTGTTTTTTTTTTTTTTTAATGAAACAAGGAGTTTCCAAAGTTTTGACTTTCATCGTTTTTAAGTATTTCTCAAAATGAACTAAGCATTTTTAATATTTGACTCAGACTTTCAGCTCAAAGTGCTACAAGCTAAAAAGCATTAGGAAAGCTGGAAGTGAACAAATTAGTTCAATGTATCATCTTCACTTATTAATTACTGAAAAAAATCACCATGAAAAGATCATACATTTTTCCTTGAGCTACATACAGAATTTCCTACACAGATGGCAACTACACATCAATATATCACAGGCATACTCTGCTGTTTCTGTGAATGGGCAGATTAACTGGGAAATAAAAGGTGCCCCCTTGGTCAAGCATTAAGTATATGTCTTATAAAAAAGGTTGAGACCTAAGACCTAATTACATTTACCACAGATCAATAGTCTCCAACACAGAAGACTAATAGTTTGTAACTTGGTTTCCATTGTTGTTTTGCTGGAGACAGTGTCTTCTACAAAGACATGGTAGGAAAACTGAAAGCTGAAGTTTAGACACAGGAATGTTTATGCATGTCGTGGGTTAAGCTTGGCTGGCTGCTACATGCTCACTAAGCCCCTCTCTCACTCCCCCTCCTCAACAGGACAGGGCAAGAGAAGATGGAGAAGCTCCTGGCTTGAGATAAAGACAGGGAGATTGCTCATCCACTCCCATCGCAGGCAGAACAGACTCAACATGGGGAAGATTAGTTTAATTTATTGCCAATTAAAAAAAGAGTAGGATCATGAGAAACAAAGACAAAAATCAAAACCACCTTCCCCTTATTCTTCTTCTTCCCAAAGTTCAACTTCACACCTTCATTCTCCATTTTTCTACCTCCTCCCTCCAACCCAGATGGCACAGAGGGATGGGGGCTGTGCTCAGTTCATAACACTGCACCTCTGCCCCTCCTTCCTCACACTTTTTCCTGCTCCAGCATGGGGTCCCCCCCACAGGATACAGTCCTTCCCAAACTGCTCCAGCACAGATCCTCCCCAGAGGGTATGATCCTTAAGCAACAGATTGTTCCAGCGTGGATCCCCCATGGACTGCAGTTCCTGCCAGAAAACCAGCTTCTGTGGGGGCTCCTCTCCGCAGGCTGCAGTTTCTGCCAGGAGCCTGCTCCAGTATGGACTCTCCGTGGGCTGCAGCTTCCTTCAGGGCATATCCACTTGCTCTGGCATAGGGTTCTCCATGTGCTGCAGGGTGGATATCTGCTCCACTGCTGAGCTCCACGGGCTCAAGGGGGACAACCAGCTTAACCATGATCCCCTCTATGGGCTGCAGAGGAATCTCTGCTCCCATGCCTGGCACATCTCCTCCCCTTCCTTCTTCACTGATCTAAGTGCCTGCAGGATTGCTTCTTTTTTTTTTTTTTTTTTGATCTACTCCCCCCTCTCTCAGCTATTGCACTGCATTTTTCAACCCTTTCTTAAATATGTTATCACAGAAGCACCAGCAGCATTGCTGACTGGTTCAGATTTGGCCAGCAGTGCGTCTGTTTTGGAGTCAGCTAGAACTGGCTCCATCTGAAACACGGGCAGCTCCATGTCTCTTCTTAAAAGAGGCCAGCCCTGCAGTCTTCACGTCCCCTCAACCTTGCCACATAAACCCAATACAATGCAACAGCTACAATCTGTGGTCTGTCAACCACTTTAAAAGAATATGCAAAACAGATGAAAATCTGCTATCAACAGTCTTACATTTGTTACACAGAAGTTCTCCCTTAGAAGAATGCTGGGGTCAATCACTTCAGAAAAGCTGAAAGCCAGTCTTACAGAGATTACACTGCCCTCATGGGGTAGACTAATGAAAGCACAAATCACAGCAAAGAATGCTTTCTTTGTAAAACGTGTTTAGGATGAAGCTTTGATCAGTTCAGAAACATCTTGAAAAAAGTCCATTATCAGCGTTCTCGTACTCTTCTGAATGATTTTAGTTTAGATTCTAAAATGCCTGGCAAACGTCAACTGCTTCAGATTCTCCTGTTAAGATTTTAAAAAGGAACATATGGTTTCATTGTTACGCTACATGCCGAACCCCATAGACTCAATTCTTCTATACAGCCATAAACAGCTGTGATTGAAGACAAAAGTATTTATTAACTCAGTTTCAAGTGTCAGATGACACATGAGCACATTCTCACAGGACAATGCACACTGGAAGAATTTGAAGGCAGCAATGTCACTAAAACAGAGGAAGGACCCATTTATGCCTCCTCACTTACTCTCGGTTGCACCTCCTTCAGCATGGCGCTAGCATCTTCATCGTAATCCAGTTTACAAGCTAATGCAAGATCATGAGCAGCCTCTTCCCAGTGACCCAGAAGTCTGGAATTCAGAAGACACCAACATTCAGAAGGAAAAAGCAAACCGAACTCTTAAGAGTTCCTCAAAATATTTGCAACTATGTGGTGTTCAGTGTTTTTACCTGCAGCTATATGGACTTGTGGAAGTTTAAAGTTTAATAGTCACGGTGTTTTCTCTGTAACCTGCACACTGCAATGCCATTTGAGGATACCTGCTTGCTTCACACCCTTACAATAACTTTTGTTTGAAGTAACAATGAGGAAAAACCCCTCAGTCAGCCAGTGTCACCGTTTGCTATAAACAAGAAGGGTCTAATGTACCATAAACACCTGAAACACAGTAATAGAAATACTCTCCACCAGTGGGCCCATGTTCAGTGTAAAACGACACAGTGTACTGCACATACCATTGCTACCTCAACCTTAAGTGGACCCTCCTTACTCAACACTCAAGCATCCTAGCTAACTGGATGTACCATCTCTTGGTTGAAGAGTTCATACAAGCTACTGTGTGCACTTCTTAACTATTCATTTATCAAACTCTCCATAATAAAAAATTTAAGCAAAGAGTGGTATTCCTAACCGGTCAAAGCATTTCTGCTTACAGACCGATGCGTTAATCCAAACTACCCTCCAGTCTTCTCACTCTTAAGACTTTGTGCTGTTTATTAAAACTGTAGATATTATCAAACCACACTCTGAACACTGTTTAAAATGCTTTCTTTCTTCCTAAGTTCTATTAGCATTTACGTCTTTAACTTTTATATAGACCATAAGAAGTGTCACCTTTTTTTTTTTTGGCTGATTTATTGTCATTAGAAAAAAAGTAGAACTATAGTTGGAGGGGATACACGCTGGCCTAATGCCACTTTAAATAATTACACTGTTTGCTTAATACCACTATTCATTGCAACAAATGGTACCCTTAATAACTAGGCAGTTTAATTTACATAGTAAAAGAGCTTTAGGATGTAATGGAATAAAGGCAGCAGAGAAATATTTAAGAATTATAGGTCAGTAAATAAAAACTGAACTAAGTGAAAACAAAAGACCTCCAAACAAATCAACTCCACAGTCCTAGAACGCATATTTTAGCAAATTAGAAAATGCTATTCAGAACAGCAGTAAACCATTAGAAGAAAAAAAAGTACAAGAAGGACTACTCAAATTGCCATCAATAAATCACCATCATAATTTTTTTCCTGTAAGCCATACACTCAACACAATGGTTTCTTGGCTTATGGCTACTGTTCTCAGGTACAAGACAGTTTAGAGACAGAGGAGGAGTGAACGCACAAACAAAACTGTCCCATCCCCGTCCCCCGTCCCCCCACCCCCCGGAAAGTAAAGAGAATATCAAGGACAGGTGCAGTTCATTACCTATGTGCTTTCCCCCTCCATTTGTAGGTCTGTGCCGAGTCAGGATTAATCTTGATGGCCCTGTCACAATCTCTAATGGCAGCATTTGGCTTTTGTAGCTTCACAAAAACACTGCGGGAACAAGAACATTTATTGTACATACTGAAATACCAAGTTACTAACTTAAGCTAGAAATAATTTTGGATGACTAACAGGCAAGCTAGTGAGATAATACATTTGAAGAGCTGAGTTCAAAAAGATTTCATAGTGATAATGAAGTCACTGAAATTTAGTTCCCACCCCCTGCCATAGTAAGTGAATCATTAGCAAGAAGCAAAAGCATTCATTGTTCAGACCCAAGCCGTGCCAGCAAGAATAACTTCAGTGCATGCAAAGAACAGTTCAATTCCATGTTATTTGGAGTCTATAGCCAATGGCAACTAGCAATTTGAACAAAACAATAATGTTATGCATGGCATATTACATAGTCTTTAAAGCAGCAAGACAAAGAAAGCATGAGTACAGGCTACAAGGATCAACATCTAGAATCATCAGGAACTACAAAAGGAGACAGGAGATGAGTCATCAAAATTAAGAGAGGCAAACTAAACCCTGAAAGTAGCCCCAATCCCTTGTCAGTTAAGTGAAATAACTTCAAATGTTACAATACATAAGCATATGAGATTAACTAGTAGGGCAGTACTTTAGGAGGTTCAGGCATTTCATATTAAAAATCTCTAAAGGAAACACTAAAAAACATTCCCGAATTGGCAAAAGTATCTGATATTCAAGACATTCCAAGCCAGAACTTCTGCCCTTTTACATCTACTTGAAAACAATTTATCAGCAACTAAGAGTGCCTGTAAGTCACTTCTTCGTTAAGGTTTGTTATAAAGCAAGCATAAAGTCACACATTCTCTTCTAGAAACAAACAGGTGGACAATGTGTCAGGAAACTGTCTCAAATCTACACCTCACCAATGACAGGCATTCCAATGCCATTGGCTACACAAAACGCCCCGTCTCCCAAACACACAAATCCCACAGAACCAAAACACAAGTCCACCAGAGAGGGGGATTACTCACAGCACTTGATTAGCACTGCTGTTACACTGCACATTTTACAATAGCCTAATATATTGTTTGCTTATGTCTACCACAGACCAATTTGAGGTAACTTCTAAACTTCTACTAACACTCTTATTTTTCATTGCTAATCCCAGTCGCCAGAAGATATGGCACTATAAGAAGTTTTGAAAATAGTACTATGATGGCAACCACAACAGTGTATTAACGTACAGAAGTAGTGTTACACGCAAAAACTTGGATATGAAAAGGAAGAAATAGCAAGGCATGTACCAGTTAAGATGTATTAGAATGGAACAGTTGAAGGACACTAATTAATCACGTGAAAGTCATCAAAAGTCAAACAGTTCTTTGAATTACACCTTGTTAGGGAAAAGATCCACTATACTATCAAATCATTCATTTAGTGGTTTTTTTTTGTGTGTGTAAAAGGAAGAAAAAAAATAAATCTGTGGGAACTTCTGTTTCTGCAACCCAGGCTTGCCTGACCTTTCTCAAGAATTAGGAAGATAAGTAAGTTTGTGCATTATGAAGTTAGGGCTAACACACATCAAATCTGACAGTGTTCCCAATGCATTATCTGCAGTCTGGTAGATGTAATTACCGGTAAGGTGGGTATTGAACTGGTTAAGAAATAGGTGTGTCCTGTTCAAACATAGGACTGTTGAACAGAAACAAGTCTACTTCACAGTGAACAAATTCATTTAGCAGGTACAACAGGGAGAGATTTCACATGATCCACAATTAACCCTGCATCTAAAAAGGACATGAGTTCAATCATCATCTTAGTCCCAGAATAAAACTTCAGATTTTACAAGTGTTTGTTATCTAGCATTATTCTAACTCAACATACCAAATATTACCACAATGCATTTTGGAACATCATTCTGTTACTGACTCTATTATCAAGATTCTTTATATCGCTTCTTCAGCAAATCTGGTTAATGACATATAAGAGAAAATGCACAAAGCGTACTTTTCTGTTTCCCTCACATAGTTTAAGTTTACATAAATCCTCAAGGTACAAGTATATTTAGGTTCCTTAAGGAAAATAACAGAACAGGCAGAAACAGAAATCACTAATTTATAATGACTCACCTTGCCCTCTTGGCATACAAAATGGCCAAACAAGGATTCAGCTTGATAGCATCTGTGAACAAGTTGACAGCTTTCTGAAGTTCACCTAAATAGAGTACCAGTAAAGTTTCAATCATTATGCAACAAAATTACATCCAAATTGCTAAACCCGCCTTACAGAGTTCTGTCCCTAGACACTTCTTAAATAGAACATTATCAACAAAGGAAAATCAATTTCTCCCCCCTGCTACGTTACTGAAATACCAACTCCAAAATAAATGCTGGAGGGGAGGAGAGACTTTTCCCAGTTAAATTTGTATATTTAAGTTTGTATGCAATCAAATCTGAAGTCACCTCTCTATTACACAGCTTTCACTGCATTAAAACAAAACACTAGGGACACTAATCATAACATGTAGGGAAGTACTAGAATGATCAATTTGTAATTAAGATGCTAAAGTACCTCATTCCCCCCTGCCCTGCCCAGAACCATAGCTACATTGGGAAGACAGTACTTAAAGAAGCCTTCATGTTCTAGACGGTTTTGAGTATCCAACACAAACTGGGGTTTCTCTTCCATGAAAGCATTCAAAATAGGCCAAGATATTTACTTATTTTTATTAAAAGGAGAACCAAAACTAATGTCCCTGAGTATGTACTAAAAAACAATTTATCACCTTCACTTAGAGCATTTATGGCTTCCATCTTCTTCTCATTAGCTTGATCCATCATCTCTTCAGTTACCTAAGAAAATACAGAAAATGAAAAACACATACAAAACCCAAAAGCTGTAGAGTCCAGGCCAGAATTACCATGCTAACACAGTGCCAAAGAAAGGAGCTCCAGTTTTCTCATTCCAGAATCTTATTTTTAATTTGCATCGAAATCTTAGTTAAAACAAACAAACTTTGCTTTCAGCTTGGAGATATCAGCCACCATTATTTTTAGTTAGAAAACACTCAAAAGGTAAGTTGAATAATGGCAGATTTCTACATATCAAGTTTTTACAGGTGGTTTTGTTTTTTTGTTTTTTTTTTTTTTTTTTTTTGGTGTTTTCTGACCTGATTTTCCTCACTGCAATTTCTGATGGACTCTAACCTTTCATAAGAAAAGACTGGTTTTAAGCTAGTAAGTTTTCTATTTAAGAGAAAAAGAGCCAAAGCAACAACTGGCTACCTACCTAATATAGTACTCATCCCCCCTCAGCTGCTATCTTTGTCTAAAATCAAAACCTCTCCCTATCTTTCCTACTGCCACAGACATTGAAAATATTGTGCTTACCTCCACATTTTCATCTCCCATTTCTTGAGGGTCATCATTGTCTGGTTCAATCACTCCCTCATTGTCAATTTCTGGGGGAAAAACAAAAAGCAAGATTAAGTTCTATCTGCAAACAGAGAGAGGATTTCCAGAATCATGTTCAAATTGATGAACTGTGACAAAATCATCTATTGTCCACACCTAAGTCACTCTCTTCACTTTCTGGTTCAGGTGATTTAACTGGCTCCTCTGGCTTTTCCTCTGCTTTGCCCTGAAACAGAAATGTATTTGTAAGCATACATTATTTCTGACTGATATTCTATTCCCACTCTAATAATGCATCAGAAAATCCAAAATTAATCTTTAAAGCATCATATTGCTCTATGGCTAAACTGTTTTATTTTTAAGATACAAATCTCCTTTTTCCTCAGCTCAGATTAAGTCTATCATGCATGCAAATTAATTCAGAGCCCAAATTTTGACTCATTAACTTCTATTATTGGTAAAGCCCATCCTTCAAACTGTACAGTTCAATAATCAAAACCAAGTAATCCAGATAACATCTAATTCAGAACCAGTTTTGCAACAATGACTAACCAACCCTTCCAATCTTCCTGCCTTCTCTCACACATTCTCTGGATCAAAAATTCTCTCAATCTAATACTACTAAGCAAAGGTCCTTTAGCAGCAAACAATAAGCTGGGGAAGCCGAGAATTCCCTCTTCACTGGTGTCAATTAAAATATTGTTTCCATTTGCCAAGGTCAGAGATCTTTGCTATTTATATGTGCTTAGAATGCTCTTCTATCTACTTCTAACTACATTACTAATTTCCTCTCAATCCCGTAACTTAGCACATCCTTCTTTACCACTGACATAGGATGTCTGTCTTCATATTCAGTGTCACAGGCTATACTCACTAAACGCACACAATCCCTCCATATAGTTCTAACTAGACAGTGATTCCAACATCCACTGTCTTTTTAAATCCAAAAAAATAGTTCTACATTTTCCAAAAGTATTTCAAGCTTGTGAAAATGCTGCTATAAATATCTACAAACCAGTCACTATCTCCCATAAAACAGATGAACAAAAAACAATGAAAAGCTCTTCCACAATACTGCCTTAAAAAAATTGATAGTTCAACTGTTCACTACCTATCATGCTCATTAATATTTCTTCTCATGCAAAGATTATAATGTAATCCACTAATGACTACGGAATAGCTGTATAAACACACAGTGAGTACATAAAAGAAAGAAATCAAGACTTTGTTTGGCATTTGCATTGCACAGAACATCAGGCATTGAGGATTAGGGAAATGGAGCATGATAACACTTGAAATAACTAGGAAGCCATCTGTAAAAGGTCATCTACAAGATGCAATGGGCAGGCTTCAGACTGAACTGTCACACTCACCCTAGCGTATTCACCCACCCTATTTGAATGAAAATTAACAGCATTTTTTCCCCTCCTCCTGCTCAGTAATTTTTGCAGAGTCCAAACGTTAGTTTTCCATGATAAATTCTTCATATCTTACCTTACTTGTCTCCTCTGTGGAGGCATTGGCTGGAGCAGGCGGTATTGTGCCTCCCATGCTTTTCAGCAAAAGAGAGAAGAAACAAAACACTAAGGTTATCAAAACAGTGACATGTATTTTATTGATTCAAATCCTGCTGATAATCTCAGCTTTTTGTTGTGACACAAAACCGATGATCCAATTCACTGTAAAACCAGCAAATAAAAAGCACACGTCCACTATTCTTTTCTCTGTTTAACACAATGCACACTGTTGTGTCTGTTGGCTCTTTCACCTAGAATCCCACTGCGGCTTGTACTCATGCAGATCACACATCACCCACCCATCCTTTCTCACAAGGAAAAGCTTCCTCCGTGGCTCAAACAGACTTTCTCCTTAAAATGAAAGTTATGTTTTAAGTCAAAACTAAGTATCATTATTATATATATTATTGAAATTAGAATTATTTTTGGAACAGAAATCAAACAAGTTAAGAGAACCATAATGGCTTAAAATGTTTCTGCAATTAAAAAATTGCTGCCTAGAAAAAAAAAGTCATTTCTCTTATTTATTGCAATATTCATGCCTTTCCTTGGCTACAAGTTAAGGAGCATTCACCGTATAGACAGCATTCTTTCAATATAGAATGAACTTCTATATTATATTGACCTTGGTTAGCAGCTAGAAATAAGCATAGGCTGAATTCTCCAGCTGTTTCATATAACATCTAATCATACCTAATGGCGGGCTGCCACAAGGACTACCACTCCCATCCACCCTCTGTCCTGCATTCCCATCTACTGATAGTTTTCAACTGCTCCGGCCATACACACTCCGAAGGGGAAAAAAACATTTCTATCACCTCAGCAGGCTTGACCCACTCCTTGGGGCCTCACAACCACCAGTTAGACATGACACAGGGAAGTGGGCACATGGGAGTAGGCAGGAGAAACTGGAAGGGTGCAGGACTATCTGCTTTCAGGAATTAGTGCAACATAAAACTACATCCTAAGGATGAGATTCTACAGCTTCTTAAGTCAGGCTGCTGCAGTCCCACTTTCCCCTGTCCTGTCTCCAGCACTATCTCACAGTCAGGCCCCAAACTGGCCGAAAACAAACCTGGATGAGGTGGGACAGGACAGGGATGAGTTGGGGGAGAGAGGACAGAAGAGGAAAGAGGAGGTGGTAGGATTGACAGGCCTTGGCACAAGACTGTGCAGCAAAAGGCAAACAGCACTACACTACCTCTAGTTTACACGGATAAACTGTCAAGAAAAAATATCACAAGTTAGAAAAACCAGCATCTTCTGAAGCTACTGCAAAACTCTAGATGTGTCCATGGAACACTGATGTTACTTAATCTAAATTATACTGCAAGGACTAAACAACTGCAGTCTGATAAGTCATTATAGAGCTAGACAAAAAACACAGTACACATAGCAACAGTTCCTCCTAAATTTTTACCTATGTAGGCTGTCAACCAGGCACATAATTCTCTACCAGACTGTAAAAATCACAGTTTTCTCTATACTACAGGGAAGCCTTGGAATTTCTCTTCTGCACAAAGGAAAGTACAAATTCTGCAACATTTTAGTAGTGCTAATAGCTAATACCCAGGGTAACACAATGCTCAAAGTTAAGATCCATCTAATGCTTGTTGGCAAGACTTTTTGTTTGTTTGGTTGGTTTTGTTTTGTTTTTTTGTTTATTTTTTTGGATTGGTTTTAAACAGTAAAACTCTTTCAAAGCCTAGTTTACTGGAAAAAGACTGAGAACGCTCTAACTCAAAAAGGTCAATAACACTCTCAGTTTCCAATCTTGTATTTAAGAACAGCTCAAGCTAAAAAAGACACAGGAATCAAATTCCTGAGCAATTCCAAATTATCAGTCTCAGGATCAGCTGGTTTTAAGTCGGACACCTTGAATCATCTCCAGGCTGAAACAACTTGGTCTGACTCCACTACCCTCTTCACATTCCCCCGAAAACTATCCAAGCTTATAACAGCCTATTATATATGTTTAATTTATATATATACATGTTTCATAATATGCTATTTCATGAACTGCCAAGGCAAAACAGTTTCACTCCTAGTCCTTAAAAATGTTTTTACTATCCAGTTATCCTCCAAACTAGAGTTACAATCCCAGAACAATTCAAAAGCAAGTTACTCTAAAATCCCTTAAACCAGCATTTGATTACAATGATTAAATTCACAGCAAGGATATATGCAAAGTTTGCAAAGTATTTAACCTCAATCATATACAGATATATGAGACACACTTGTAGGAAAAGGCAGGTACTGAGCTGTATAAATAGTGCACATACATACACACAAAGACTAAGATTTTAAATTAAACCTTTATGCTTAAACAGAGTTGTGCAATTTCAGTAACAACTCTTGGGAACTGCCAGGACTCCATTGCAACAATGACTCCGTATTTCCACTCATCACAGTGATGAGAGGTGCTGCTTTTATGACTTGTTGGAAGAACTGCAACTGTTATTTCTGCATCCACTTTCACCACTGACAGAAAAATTATCTTTAGCAAGAAAATGGATTAGTATGAATTCAAAAGGGTCAAAATCTATTTGAACAAAACAACACAAAAAAAGACAAAATGCTCTGTTCATCAATTAGGGACTCTGTGCTTTACTTTTAAGGACTGCTATTGTTTCTTTGCCCAAGTGCAGGTTTTTGAAACACGTTCTCTTTAATGACTCATTTCATAACAATTCAAGTAAAAATATTTGCATTTTTATGCAATTATGAAAAAGCAAGCATGACTAAAAGGGATGTCAAAACACTTTCCAAACATAAATCATACACTAGTGCACACTTTCTATACAGAGAACATCTATATTAAATAAAACAGTTAAACAGAATAAAGGTTAGAAAATAACAAGTATTTGTTATTTGTGAAAACAGGTAAGACTTAAGGTTTCTATGCAATAATAACAGCCAGTCAGAAATAAAGCATCCCATTCTGACTTTATGAGCAGTTAGCATCATTTAAGTTAGAATCATTAGAAACTTTAAGGGGGAAAAAAAAAAAAAATCATCAGAATTTTAGCTGAAAAATGTAATGATGGATTTCAGTATCATTTAGTCATTATTCTGTAATCACTCACAATATTATCTTGGTGACTACAAACCTGTGTCTTTCAGATTAATACAGGTAAACCTGACAGAGATATAAGACTCACCGAGTTTATTCCCACCTGAAGCCAGGTCATGCTAGGTATCAAGCAGTTTCCAAAGACTAAGACGACCCTATAAATGCCCTTAACAATCCTACTGCAAACAGGACTATTAAAGAAGGGCAGAGGGGAACCCACCAGACTTCCAGAGAGTATGACATGAAAAGTAACTTGGCTACCACTCCAAATATCCACATGTGGATACCCATATATGTATAGAAAAACAGAAAACTTGAGGGCTATCCAGCGAAGATTTTACATGGAAAAAACATCCCACAGTTTAAAACCTAATTTTTATACCTATAATACAAGCACCCTTCTATTAACCAAATACAAACTCTAAAAATTAATCTGGAAGTTAGAGCCCTCCCCATTAACATGGAGAAAGTTAGAAATCAGATTATCACCTTTCCATTCCCTAACACCTCCTTTGGCAAAAAGAAGCCAGGGTTCTTCCTCTCCCTCCCAAAATACTCTGTTCATACCTTCAGAATTACGCAATGAAAGTAATTCAGGGTGAGGCACTGAAGCCTTTTACACAGTAGCAAAAGGAACTAAAAACCTGCAGTAGGATAAAATAGACACGGGCTTCCTTCCTAGGCATATGTACAGCTATTATCAGTACTGCAAAACCAAGTGAAATTAGATAGGAGTGGTTTTACGACCACACTAACATTCAGATGCATTAAAAAGTTTAGACATCACTGCAAAAAAAACCAAATAGTTCATTGTGGCCATTTTCAGTAAATGACATACTGTGAAATGCCAGCATTTACTTTTATATATATGCACAGCAAGCCTCACTAGTTTTTCAACTTATAATAAGTGCTATATCGCAGAAAGTACTGTTAAAATACTTGCAGATTAAAAGTTAAAGCATATTTTCTAAAACAAATCCCAGTTTGTCACTAGATAAAAACCTTTTAACTTCTTTCATAAAAGGTGTGTCTGCAAGGACTTTTCTCACTTCTCAAGCGTTCTTTAGTGCACCAAGGGTTGTAGCTACAAAAGCCAAGCAGAGGTACCCCAGCTGAACGCAGGGGCTCTGGAGGGGGTCTCTGTCAGCAGCAAAGGACCTCAACCCTTCCAGCCTGGTGCTTCGGGATGCTCAGGGTAGAGCCCAGGTGTTTTTATACATTGAGAAGCGACCGCTGTGACAGGCCGCACGCACGCACAAGCCTGGGTGCAGCATCAATGGCGGCCCTTTGAAATGCCCTCACAGGGGAGCGAGATTTCAACTACTCGATCCGTGAAACTTCAAGGGGCAAAACGCGTTTCGGCCGGGAACCGTTCCCGTGCATTAGAACTGTCAGGCATTTTATGCTTTTGGGTACCAGGCTGTAAATCAACGCCACTCACCTCCCCGCAAACTCGGCTCCTTTTAAGACAGGCTAGCCAACTCTGCTGCCTAATGAGAGAATTAGCTCGGGAAGTATTACTGTGGGGCTTTCCAGCCTGGAAAGCTGAGCCACTGAGATGGCCGGCGGGCAGGCTTTTGCAACGGGAAGAGCCGGAGTTTAAAAATAAAAGGGAACGGCAAAATAACACGTCCTCTTAACGCCAGAGTCGCAACCTCGGCGCGCCCCGCGGCGGGAAGGGGCGAGGGGGAAGGGGGAGAAGGTGGAGGGCGGGCGGGCGGGCGGCCGCGCAGCGCAGCGGGGCCGCTCCCCAGCGAGGCCCCGCCGAGCCGGGACCGGGCGGGACCCGCGGTGCCGCCCCCCCCCCCCCCCCCCCCCCACGGCCACGCGGCGGGCCCGAGCGCCGACACGTGCCGCCACCCCCCCGTCCCGCGCAAGACCACCCCCCTCCCGCCGCCGCCTGCCCCTCACGGCCACCACAACGGCGGCGCGGCGCGGCCCGTGACCGACCTCTCCACCCACTCGCGGAGGAAAGCCAGCTCCTCGGTGTGCAGCAGGCCGGGGTTCTGCTTGCAGAGCCTGACGAAGGCCCGCAGCTCGCCCAGCTTGCGCGAGTCCATGGCGGCGGAGGCGGCGGCTACAGCGCCCGCCACTCGCTCGCCTTCCCGGCCCGACCGTCGCGCGGCGCCGCCGAAGCTTCCAGCCCACCCCGAGGCCCCGCCCCCGCCCCGCTGGGACACGCCCACCCCCGCCGCCCGGTCCCGCCCCGCCGCCGCAGAGCGGCGGGAACGTTCTAGAAGCGGAGGTGGCCGTCGCGCGGCCGCGTCCCGCCGGGCGCGGCATCGCTCCCCTCCTCGGTGTCGCCCGCCCGCGCGTTTCCCCCTTCCCACCCACCCACCCATCCATCCACCCCCGCTGCCGGCGCCCCGCCGCGGCCCGGGCTCCTCATCCCGTCCCCCCCGCGGCCGCAGCAGGCGGCCTCCGCGGGCGCCTATGCCGGAGCGGCGCCGCTCATTGGCGGCGGGGAAGGGGAAGGGGAAGGGCGGGGGGGGCGGTGCCGGGCGCCCGCCGATGGTGTCAGCGCGCGGCGCCGCGGCAGGGGAAGGTCCCGCCACGCGGGGGCCGGACCTGCGTGGGGAGGAGGAGGAGGAGGAGGAGGAAGGGGGGGGGTGCGGGTGCGGGTGCTGCGGGGGGGGGGCGCGCGCGCGCGGCCCGAGGCCGTCTCCCTTGGACATGTCGCGCCTTCCAGCCCAGCGGCTTGTCGCGGCGGTGAGGGGCTGGCGCGGCTTCTCAGGTCAGAGACTCCTCCCCTCACGCGCCGAGCTTCCCCCTCAGCGGGGCCCGCCGGGCCCTGTCCCGCCCCGCCGGGCCCTGTCCCGCCCCGCGGCCGCCCCCGGGGCTCTGGTGACGGGCTGCCCGGGGCACGCCGAGCCTTGTCGCCGCTCGGAGCCCCCTTCCCTCCCTCTCCGCTCCCCCGCCCCGGCACCGCCGGCGAGCTGCGGGGCCGCCCTGGCGTCCGTTTCGCTGTGGGCGCGAGGGGCGCGGGAAGGCGGCTCTCGCGGGGGCCAAGTTGTCGCCTCAGGCACGGTCGAATCCGAGGGAGTGAAGGGCTTAATATTTGAAAAATAAAGCAACGGCGTGGAAGGTTCCTTGCTGTCTTCACAACACTGCTTTATTTAATGCCTGTTGTGTTCTCCCGTCTCGTTGCAAGCTATCCTGTTTGTCTTCTGTGTAGGTGGAGAGAGAAACAGTGAAAACCCTCTTTAAACTGCACAAAAAGCTGTAATTATATGTCACTGCCTGGATCTCCAGACTGTTACGCCAGTCATCGCATAGTGAATGCGTTACGTTATGACTATCGGTTGTCATGCATAAGTAACCTTCAATTACCAGCTAATCATACTGGCTCCTGCAGAAAATCCACGGTCTATATGTTCTGCTATAAGTCTCCCAAGTCTCAGCTCTCTGAAAGGCAGGCAGCTGTTTTGCTTGTGTTGTGTTTGCTTGTGCTAGTGAAGAGTTGATTATCGTTTGTTCTATGAATCCAGTGCCGTGCTATGGCAGCATGAATTGATTTTGTCATAGGCACATGTTAAGTGACATAGAAGGAACTAGTTTCCAAAACATCAGCTAGTGGATGTTGGGAAGCTGATTACCATCTCTTTCCATGTGTATGATGGTTTGTCTCTGGGCACAAGCAATTCTTCAGCTGCAAAAAGTTGTGACTGAGAATTCCACAGTTGGTAAAGTTTGTGACAATTACATTTAATTTTAGCTTTTGTCTTACCATGCACACCCCCAGCTCCTAAAGGCACACTTGCAATTCTCTTTAAAACTTGTCAGCTCTGGCTGTGTGTGGATTTGGAAAAAGCATACATAAACTGTGCTTCTGAGGAACTGTTTTCAATTTGGCGAATGCTATTGTCAAATAAATTAAATACATAAACAGGGGCTCCTGAGTATCTTTCATACAGAAAAAAAAAAAAATCACATGTATAAACCTGTGGTATTTAATGGCTTCTTTGTGGCATTATTAGTAAAAAAAAAAAAAAAAGAACTGGAAAGGCCTCAAAAACTGTGTAATTGTTCCATAGGAGTGGTATTTTTGAAAACATACTCAAGCAAAGACGATATACAGGCATTGTGCTTCAAGCCCTGCAGTGTTTGAGGAAAGCAAGGGAGGAAGGGCACCAAGAGTAGAAATTGGGCACGTGCAAACCAACACAGCTTCTCTGGGTTTTCTTGCTGGATTGTCAGATTTGGCATATGTTAATTTCTTTCCATCTGTTTTATGAATATTTGATCGTTGGTTGAGTTGTGTGCACATGGTTTCATAAACTATTGTGGTACACAACAAATTGAAAAGTTAAGGAGGAATATTTATGTTATATAAGGTGAATGAATGTTGCTAAGTCAGATGACTGGAGTATAATTCTGCAGTTTGCTAATGGGAAAGGTCTTTTACCTTGACATGGTGCATTTCTTTTCCTCTAGTTTGCAAGTCATGTGCTCTCCGAAGATTTTCCATCCAGCCTGCCCAGCAGAAGAAGATTCCAAACCGGTATTTGGGCCAGCCCAGCCCCTTCACACACCCACACCTTCTCAAACCAGGTTAGGTTCACATCCTGTATGAGCCAATCATTTGTATTTTTAATTCCCTCTATTTTTCTGAGATGTTCAGAGCAACGTATTGATTTGCTGCTTCATACAGATATCCGTGATTTCAGCTGTTTATGATTAACTTTATTAGGCAGTAATTATATTTAGTACTTAACTTCCTTGTAGGAGATTATACTGATTCTAAAAATAGGCTTCACATGTAAACTTTTTACCTTTTTCTCATGGAGTGCTTGGTGTCACTGACTTGGGTACTGCAGACCTTTCATAGCAGTGACATCTTGGCAGCTCACTGTCCTGCAACTACAATACCATTTATATTAAGGGGGAAGTCCTTTGTGCAAGCTGACTGCTAGGACGCTTCCTATCCAGTGTCTTGTAGTCCACCAAATAAAGGTGTCATTCAGAAAAGAAAATCAGGGAGAGACTTACTGAGAGTTGGACACCACTTGTCTGAAGAGCATGCCCTCTTCAAGAGAGAATTCAAGCTGTGACGAAAAATGAAAAAGAGACTTGTGGTTATAAAGTTAGAAGGTAGTGATGAAAGAGAAGCTGAGGTTATGGAGTTTTATGAGATTAATGAAAATGAGCATGTATGTATGAGATGACCATGATTAAATCTAAAAAAAAAAAATGTGAGTAAAAATATATTAAAGAATTTGTCCAGGAAAATATTCTGGTTCTGTTCTTTTTCTGTAGATAGGTATACAGAGAGAACAGATGAATATATAGCCATGCACTTACATATTTAATTGTAGAATAACTCAGGTCAGAAGGGACCTCAGAAAGTTATTAGGTCTATCCTCTGCTCAAAGCTGAGCCAACTTCAATATTAGACGAAATTGCTCAGGGCACTGATTAACAGCTCACAGTAAATGAGGCTGACATTTTAAAAGTACTCACAGATGAAACTGGAGATTAATTCTAGCTACGTATAGTAATTTTCAGTTTAATAAAGGAGTAGTGTTTTCCTTAAAATAATACAACATTGTTTTATTGCAAGTATTGTTTTAAAAAGCAAATGCCTTTAAGGCAAAGAGAATTTTAAGGCCTTGCAGTCAGAAGACAATTGGTGTTCCCATGTTCCACCCTACTGCAGCCTCTAAATTTCACTGTATTCTTTGTGGTAGTTAGAAGGCTGACTGGAATGCAGAGGAGCATAGGAAATTTGCGGTATAATATTGCAGGAAGGTGGGGTCATATTGCATTAAAACCATTTCTGTGTTCTCTGTCATTTCTAGATGTACAGAGTAAAACAAATTCGGTGGGTTTGTTTTTTTCTTAAAACCCCAACTTTTATACCAAATAGGTGTTGGGGATATATGGTGTTGAAAACGTGTAAAATTTAATGCAAATACAACATATGTGGTTTTCTTAAACTCTCTTTTCAAGGAAAAACATTCTGGGTAGAACTTCCCCCTCCCACCCCACCCATTCAAGAATCCACTTACAGTACAAATAAAATTTCAGTTTTTATTCTAGAATTGTCACTGTGAGATACATTAAAGAGGAAGAATAGATCATGAAAGTAGAAAGTTAACAGTATGAATACGAAATATATGTTAAAATAGGGTATTAGCCAAAGTACTGACTGAGGCTTATATATTCATTGAAATCATAGTTAAGGAGTCTCGCATTTTTAAAAATACATACTTAAGCTGTTGCTTGTTGTTCTTCCAACTTCAGTCTGGTTTTGATGAGTATCTTCATTGCCGTACTTCTTATTCTTTGCAACTGAAGCAGTTTAAAACGTACTTTCATCTAAGAAATAGTTTGGTTAGAGTCATTAGGAATATAGTATTTAACTTTGAAAAACTCCAAGTTGTTAATCATTGAGAAAAGCTACATCGGAGTCTGATGCCAGCTTGCAGTTCGTGGTTTGTTTCTGCCTGGAATCTTGTGACTGGTTAGACTCTGCAACCTCTGTGTTTCTGCCTGATCTCCCAGTATCTGTAACACTTAATCCAGCCTTTACGGTTTAGAACTAGTTACTTTATGAGTTGACTTAGTGTGTATTTGAATAGACATTCTAGCTTTATCTGAGGAAATTAATGCTCAACCTTGGGAGGTAATCTTCTGTTCAATGTCCAGATACTATAAAACCCATCAGTTTTCAGCAGTCAAAGTCCAGTTTACCTTGCCTCTTCCCTTTTTTTCACATGTCTTTCTGAAAACATCCATCTGTTTCGGGTGTTTGTCTAAATCTACCAGGTGTTGTGGTTTCTGGTTTTGCACAGAAATGCATAACAGAAAATCCGTTTTGTTAACTAAATTTCGGTGTTTGCATGATGGAGGATTGGATTAAATGAGGATGTGCTCTAGGGATAGAAGCTGAAGAGATGCATGAGAGAGCAGTAGAAAGGCTAACGAGGGACCACGACAAAGCCATGTATCTGAAAGCATCAAGGAGTAGGCAAGAATCAGGCATGTGACTAGTAAAATACCACGAATGCCTTGAATTTCTCAATCTGATTTGTTTTGTATTTGTAGGAGAGGTAACCCCAGGATTGTCACAGGTGGAATATGCTCTTCGCCGACACAAACTGATGGCGTTGATCCAGAAGGAAGCCCATGGCTGGGATGGATTGGACCACACAGTGATTCTGCTATCTAACCCCACGTACTACATGAGCAATGATATCCCCTACGTTTTCCACCAGGACACTGACTTCCTGTATCTCTGTGGGTTCCAGGAGCCTGACAGCATCCTGGTGCTGCAGACCATTCCTGGCAAAGCACTGCCCTCCCACAAATCCATACTTTTTGTGCCTCGGAGAGATCCAAGCCGAGAGCTGTGGGATGGGCCCAGATCAGGCACAGATGGGGCGATTGCTCTCACAGGAGTAGATGAAGCTTACACCATTGAGGAGTTCAGACACTTGGTGGCCAAGCTGAAAGGTAACAAAAAATGGAAGAGGAATGAGATGAGACATGGCTTGCAGGGTCTGAATGGTATGGGTTTGAAATGCGGTCTCTAACACCAGTTCAAGACTATCATGAACTTGGGGAGGTTCAGGGGCTATGACAGTATGACAAAGACAGTTGGAAGTTCATGTTAGCTTCTTGAGGGTCACCAATGGAAATGTAGCTTTGAAAAGAATAGTTTTTCTTCCCCTCTGAATTTCTTGTGCACCCATGTGAATGCCAGTGTGCACCTCTGTGGAACATAAAGAAGAGGATAAGCAAGAGAGCATTACAAATTGTGTTACTGTTTTAGTCATATCTTTTTGCTGACAGAGCCAGAACCAGAGGAAGTATAGGAAACTTGAAGGTATTCTATTCATAATAGACTTGGAAAATGATCTACACAGGGAAGTTGTTAGTCCACTCACCTTTTTTAGCTAGATGTTGACTTCACTCTTGAAATGTGAACATTACTGTCCTTTAGACATGTTCTTCTGCACCTAACATCACCGTGTAGCTTCAATACTTATAATACAGAATGAACTTAAATGCATTATAAAATGAAGCTGAAGGCATATGACAATATAAAAAGGGCAAGTGCTTTACACAAGTAAATTCCAGTGAATTCTGGAATCTTAAATACCATCTCCGATTCTAGTTATTTTGTTTAAAAAAAGGATATATTGAAAATAGAAAAGTCACAGAAAGGGCACCAAGGATGATCAAAATTATGGAGTGTGTGTGAGATACGTGCTGGACAAGACCTACTCAGTTTGAAAAAGAGAAAACAGAAGGTAAGATATGAGAGATGTGTATGGTTATGGAAGGCACAGGAAGGATGAGTAGGAATGTTTAGTTGCTATTTTTCGTAATTTACAAACAAAGGGAACAGTGAATGAAATGATGACATGGCAGGTTTTGACACCTTTTAAGTTGTAGATCATTCATGGAATGTTTGGAATGTTAAAAATTTATAGGAATTCAGAAGTTTCTAGTTCTGTGGGGGGAGAGGTCCATGAAAAGCAGTTAATCCCTATTAAGAAGCTGCAGCCTTGAAATGAAACCAGAAGTGGGGAGGATGTGCTAAGGGAACTACTCTTTCATAAATGCCTAGTTTCTTAGAGACTTTTTGTAAGCACCTGCTAACGCCGACTGTCAACAAAGAAGGGGGGGCCTAGATAGACATTAGCTGTGACTCGGCATGGCTTTTCTATTCATTCCCATTTCAAATGCTCCTGTGGGGAGAGTGTGGGTGCTAACTGATGTTTTAAATAAATTTCCACGTAGATAAATATGTTTGTCCTTGGTAACTTCTCTGAGTGGCTGAAATAAGCAATTGTTCCCCAAAGATATTCTAAAGCGTAGTTGATAATGAGCCTGATTCCATGTGATGAGTAAAAGGTAAATTTCCTTACGGGATCAGGTGGGACAGGCTAAATGAGGGAATGGTTCAGAACATGTACCACTGCAGTGCAGTGGCTACTTAGCTTACACAAGTGCAACTTCGATACGGAAACTCTGGATCTGTGCAAGATACATATATTCAGTGATGATCGTAAAACCCAGTATTTGCATAAAAGTGGGGATTTGTTAAATCTACCTGCTATGAACTGGTAATCTTCCATATTTTCAAGAGATTGCTAGTATCCCGTGACAGTGAAGGTGTCTATATAGTCTTCAAATGCAGATTCAGAGGAAATTAGTTTCACAAATATAGCAACAGGTCTAGTTTAGGAGGCAAGAGTTTGTTCAGTATGGGGAGGACATTTCTACATTTATTTTCATCTGTGTCAGATTTTGTTTTGTATTCCAGGTGAGTCAAACATTGTTTGGTACGACTTGAAGAAACCAGTGCATACAGAGCTGCACTCTGACTACATGCAGCCCCTGGCTGAGATAAAAGCTCGGAACAAAAACCACATCCAGGGCATCCGACATCTAGTGCAAAACCTTCGGCTGATCAAATCTCCCGCAGAGATTGAAAGGATGAAGATAGCTGGACAGGTGACAGCAGAGGTATGGGGTCGTATGTTCTCCAAATGAACCAGTGCATTCCTTTAAAGAAAGAAGGGGAGCGGGCTGTTGGTGGGGTGACATGGGTTGGAAAGATGGCTTTGGTCTAATCCGTTACTGAACTGCTGTGTCTCAGCCATCGGCTGGGCTCAGCTCCCTCTACATGACAGGGAGAAACAGGAAGACTGCTTGGACTACCAGCTTCTCTCAGTTAGTGTAACTCCAGTGAAGACAAGCCAGCAGCTGTTTGACTTTGTTTAACAGCAGTATCTGTTCAGGAAAAGGGCTAGCCTCTTCATTCATGCCAGTTTCTCCTCTCTTTCCTCACATAATTTTCTTTCCCATTTATCCTGTTGATTTTGAGGAGACAGGATTTCGGGAACACATTATACCTGTGTATGTCTCCATATTCCCCCTTCTCCCTCAAATACCATTTGAACTCATTGGCCAGTTTTAAACAAACCTGACAGATACCTCAAATGCAGTTATGTTTTTGTAGATATTATTAAAATAACCAAACAGAAAAGAGAGACACAGCTTGTCCTTCTCTGAAGGAAGAGCTACGTGAGGCAATCCATAGGTGAGACAACTTCTAAAATGCCATCCCATGGGATCAGCTTCAATCATCTAATCCTTTTTCAAAAACTAGAGTCAGTCATCCCCTAAATATAGTTTCACAGGGAACAGAACTTACTTGGTTCTAGTCTTCACAACACTGTTTTCAGCGGCCTCTGGTTCCTGTGTTCTGGGCCAGCTGATTTTAGGCCTTCCTCAAAAGACAGCAGTAGAAAAAAAAAAAACTTCCCTCAAGTTCAGACTCCTTTGCCAATTGGAAAGCTCTTCTTTTTCATAGGCTTTCATGGAGACAATGTTTGCCAGTAAATCCCCAGTGGATGAGGCCTTTCTGTATGCAAAGGTGAGTACTTTGTGAATGGAGGTAAGATGAAGGGGTGGATGTTGTTTATCCTTCCAAGAGACTAGAAACATCAGATCTCTCTATGATGTGCTCCCCACTGTAGCACATTTCTCCTTTACCTAGCTCTCATGGTTCCTAGGACGCGTGGAAAAGTCAGTGTGAGGAATTCTTCAACTGTGCTTCCTGTATTACTGAAGGAACATAGTGGTTGTCTATCTGCTATTGATGTCTTTTTCTACTGTATTTAAATACAAAACCTGTAAAACAATCAGAGATATAGTTATTGACTTATTCTCTAATATAGTTCTGTTGTACAGAATTTAAGGAGTTATAACACCTATTTGTAAAGCCTACTTCTCTTACTGCATCGGATTACCACAATTATCTTGAAGCAGTGTAGATGCCTCTCAGTTACAAAATAAGGACTAATTGGCCTGCACATTTGGTAAGGAATTGCAGTGAGATGCCTGTTTGAGAAACTTCAGCAGGATTTGACCTTCTGTTACGACATAGATAGGCCTGTGCTGACATGGCACTGAGCAGCAGTACTGACTTGTAAAGAAAATTATTTTAATTGAAGTGTATTTTACAGATCAAACTTTCACTCCAGATCAGGATCATAAAACCTACTCTACTATATGTAGGCATCCTGAAGTGTTCGGTCCCATGCGGTTTTGGTGATTATAGAAAAGACATGTTGTTAAAATACTGAGGTTATAGAGGGTCTTTATAGATGTAAGTTTATTAATTTCCATGCTTTCATCATCCTTATTACTCAAAAGGGTAAAGATCTTGAGGTTTACAATTTCCTCTCCTCCCCTCCCCTCCCCTCCTCTCCCCTCCCTTCCCCTCCCCTCCCCTCCCTTCCCTTTTTCCTTCACTTTTCTTTTCTTCCCTCCCTCCCCCTCTCCCTATCCCTCTCCCTCTCCTCTCCCCCTCCTCTCCTTTTCCTTTCCTTTCCCTCAAACATCAAAGAAGTGCATGCTTTCAAACCTTCCAAGTTCAACAGAGTCATGAAAATAAATACTGCTGTAAATATGCTGGTGCTTTGTAATTTTGAAAGACAACAAGAAGACATGACTGTTGTCATGCTGACATTTAGGATCTTTGAAAATTTGAAAAATTGTATGGTACCTAAGAGTATTACTTTATATAAGAACAAATCCTCACCTGGATTTGTCACAATGTATTGAGTGTTTGATACAGTACTGAACAGCTTGCACCAGAAAGAGCTTCCATGGGACAAAATGCAGGCTCAAAACACTCTCTTGAAAAGTGGATTGGTTTGTATTTTTTTTTTCTCCAGTGTTCTTGGAAAACCTTCAAGGTTGCTTTCATTTAGTGAACTCACTTTCCCGTTTCACTTTGTGTTGTACAAATTAAGAAAACAGTTGTAGGACATGAATTATAATAGCCCCAGGGCACTTATTCACCTGAATCAGCACTAACGATCTCCTCCTCTCTGAATTGGTATTCCAGTTTGAATTCGAGTGCCGGTCTCGTGGTGCTGACATCTTGGCGTACCCCCCTGTTGTTGCTGGTGGCAACAGATCAAACACTTTGCACTATGTGAAGAACAATCAGCTCATCAAGGTAAACCATATGCTGTCCCATAACTTAAAATGCAGTGCTGTGACACACTGTCCCCATATGCATCCCCTAGCTGCTCTTTGTTTTGACTTAATGAAAACACTTACATATATTCAAGTGAGCAGGGAAGGGAATCCTGCCCTGGTTAGTTTTGCATTCAGTGACAGATTAACTTCATCTAATCTCTTTCTCCCTTCTTTGCACTTGCTGCAGTTTCTTCTGAACAGTGGAAGGACTTGCAAACAAGCCTGCAAATAACTTAATTTAGCGAGCATGCCTGCTACCACACCGTGTGCAGCCGTGTGCAGTGCTTGGTGGGTTGCTCACCTCACAAAAGAGAGGGACTACTGCAGCAGGCAGAGTGAAGGCACCATGGTGACCTTCTGCTGTCACTTCCACTGCTTCACCTCGCTTTGCAACATGAGGTGCTCTGGCAGAGCTGAGAAGCATTTTGGACTCCATGTAGGCCAACAAAGCAGGGAAGGGGAACAAGGATGGAAAGGATCAGCGTTAAATATTGAGCGGTGAATTAGATGGCTGTAGGTAAATTAATGTGTTTTGTGGTATTTTGAGGATTCACATTATTGAATTGAACCCTCTCCAGCTTTCCTGACAGTACACCTTTAGATTCAGATAAGTATTTTCAGAAGCAGTATTCCCCCACTGTTCTACTCATGATTCACTTTTCAGAGGAACATATTTTTCCTCTGTCTTAATGCAGGATGAAACTTTCCACTAGCATTGTCTTTTCTTGAAGCTGGCATGCTAGCAGACATTGAAATGATCTGCAGAGACAGACATACAAAAGATATGACAGGCTGCTTTTGGCAGAAAGAAGCCTCCTTTGTTGTACTGTCATCCAAGGTCAGGCGTGCTCATGTAACTCCAGTTGCTTCTGTTAAAGTTGTTCAGTTAAATGACTGTCACTTGGTTTTTTTCAAAACCATTAAGTAGGAGGTTAAACCCGTAAACTTTTCCTTTGTGTGCTATTTCATACGGATCTTGTTGCCAAATAGGCTAACCCAGTGTCTAATTTGGAAGGTATCTGAAGGTCGCTTATGGCTTCATGTGGACTTCATTCAGTCCACCACTTAGTGGACTCAGCTTTAAAGAAAGAGGACAAGATGCATGACATAAGGCACTTACTGGACAAGCAAACCACAGGCTGAATTCCCTTAGACAATAAATTGTTACTTATGTAATTGCTTGGAAGAGGGCAAGTGCTATAATTTCATGTTTTACTTAAAGAATTGAATGACCTATTCTGAAAAAGTTAAAAATACAATTTAAATGGATAATTAATAGCCTGTCTATTCAGTGGGATAGTGAGATCTGGCCAGTGCTAGTTTATCTACTGTGTAAGTGTTTGTGGAGCTTTACTGTACACAATGATAGTAGCTAGCACTAAAGGTGGTGCTAGCAGTGAAATTCTGCTTCTTATTTTTTCCCTGAACGTGCTAGAATAATATTCTTGATCATTCCTCGTCATGGCTGCTGGCACAGTCCTGGATCTCTGGAGTGAATCTCTATAAAAGGTCTTGGATTACATATAGTGTAAATCCATAGAGAATTTAAACTTCACAGATCTCGCTGCTAGCCCCTTTAAAGAGGGAAAGCAAGGCAGTGATTTTGCTCTGGCCCTTTGTCTTTTTTGTGGGGCTTTTTGGAAGATGTGCAATCAGTGATTTAATTGACGTGGAACAATTTTGCTGAAGTGAATTGGAGGTTCACATCTCCAAAAGTTTTTTCTTCATCACCAGGTAGACTCAGAAGTGTATCTTAGAGCAGTCAAGAATGTCCAGAAGAAAACAGGAAAGATAGTACAAGCTATTTGATAGTGCATTTACAGTAGCGATACACTGTCAGAGAACTGATTTTGCTGAGTCTTCTTACCTTGTGACAAGGCTAAATCTTTAGCTGTTAGTGTTCTTGTGAGTAGCTCAGAAATCTATTGTTTTTTTGCGGAAACCCTTCTGTCTCAGTCACGAGCAGAGAAATTCCAGTGAAAGGAGTCACTGGTGTAATTTGCTGGAGTAAACAGTCCAGGTGTGAATGGGACTGATGTCTCAGAGATCAAAATAGTTCAAGGAAAATGTGGTTTTTTACTCCAACATGTTTGAAAATCAGCATGTTAAGAGTTCAGGCTGTAGACTACCCTGCAGAGAAACAATCCAACTGGAATAGCCTATTTATAAACAGTAGCACCTGAAGGGGTGTTCTGCAAAAGGAATTCACATCTCTGCAACTGCTTTGCAAAAATAAATACATAATCCTCTTTCCTGCTGTCAGACAGAAAAAACAAATCAGTTAATAGACAGACTGACCCACAGGGCATTTTTGCCTGTTATTCTCCAGGATGGTGAACTGGTCTTGCTAGATGGTGGATGTGAGTCTTCCTGCTACGTAAGTGACATCACACGTACCTGGCCCATCAATGGAAGGTATGCTGCAATAAGGCTGTTTTGAAGAACTTTGAGAAGGTCTTAAATAATTGATGGATTGAGTGTATGTGTGTTTAATCTCTGTGAGTAGTTTTTAACATGTCCCATTCTGTGGTTCTTCAGAGTAATCAAATTACATAAACTTATCTTTCAGCATGAGAAGCTGTATTCCCCACTGCCTCATTAATTACTGCATGAATATGTGCGATTACTGCTTTTTTTAGCTATTACAGCATGCTTAAAGTGCAGAGGATGCTTTTGTGCATTCAGCTGTGGCTGGCTCTGGTTGTATGTAAGAAAACAGGAGTTTAGTTGACCTGTACATGGCTCTGTCAGTTGTGAATTTGCTGATGTGGTGTCCCTGTGGTTGTGTTTGACTCCTGTATGTTTCGGCTCAAGTGCATTCTTTTTCCTGCAGTTGCTTTGCCTTGCTTTGTTTTGGGGTTCAGTTGTCAGCTGAGTAACCCTGCCTCTACCCAGTGTATTGAAGGGCATGTTGAAGTGATGCCTTGTCTGGTATTTCATATAAGGAGCCAGTTGCTTTCCTTTCTGACTTCCCCTACTCCAACACCGAACTGAATCTCTCCCCAAAATAGGTTCTGGGTAGAGGTTTAATTGTGAGAAATGTCCTTTGTTCCTTTTCTCAATGGTTTTCAGGTTCACCAAACCCCAGGCAGAACTCTATCAGGCTGTCCTGGATATCCAGAAGTCCTGCCTGAGCCTCTGCTCCCCAGGTGTAAGTCTAGAAAATATCTACAGCCTCATGCTGAGCCTTATTGGACAGAAACTGAAAGAGTTGGGGATCCTGAAGAGCAGCATCACTGAGAGCCACTTCTTCAAGGTGCTTGAAGTTTTTTTTACTCCAGCTGCCCCCTACTAGGCCTGACTGTTTTCTCCTTGGGTTGTGTTAGTGGCTTTTGTTTGGCTCAGGAGTATGCTTTTGAGATGCATCTTCTAATTGTTGCCACACACTCTGCTTTAATTCATGTTACGGACTTATCTCAGCACAGGGCTGGATTTCTCTCAGACAAGGCTAAACTTGAAGATGTGTTTCAGCCATTCACTGTGCAATTTGGTCTAAAGCAACCCCCCAGTCTTATATGCACACAGTGTGAACATTTGTTCTTTGGCACTTGCTATTTCACCCTGCAGATCTGTTCCCATTAGTCTGCACTACTTGTTAAGTGTAGATGCAGCTTTAGAGTACCCACAAAAGGGACCTGTAGAGACATTCACACAACATTGTGGGTCCAGAGCTGGCTGCAGGCAGTCATAGTTTTGTGATCTATTTAACATAGCATAAATCTGCAGCGCCACCAAAAGGTGCAGCCTATTCCTCTCAGTCATTCCGCCTGCTGCCTCTTCTGCACTGTTTTGTGTCAGTATTGGAGTTCACAGAGCTATCTGGTGAATGAGGCTGGGAAACTGGTCTGCCTTAGAGCTGAACCTGCAGATAAAATAGGATTGGTTTGCAGTTAGAGAAGTTTACCCAGTCCCACTCACTGCAAACCTGCATGATTGCTGATGCCAACACAAGAAAGATGGCAGAACCAGGTGATGGAACTACCCCTTTGGCAGCAGGACAGATTTCTGCCAGGTTTAGTTGTACATCAGAGCAATAACAGTACAAGTTCTTGCCTGTGAACGGAGGCTATCATGCCGGTTTCTCTCGGCAGGCGGCAGCATAGCCAGATGAGACCAGCATCTGCAGCTCAGTCCCCAGTGAATATGAGGAGCGTGGGGCAGAGGGGAAATTAGCTCTTTGATTCCTCCTGACAAGGAGCTCCTCTCTGAAGGGAGCGGGGTTAGGATGATGTGGGGCAGAGACAGTGCCCTGTAGAGGCAGATTAAAATCCTGCTGTAGCTGCTGAGTAAAATCAGCACAGCATGTGCTCTGTTGTGCATAGAATGCCTCTTTGCCACATCACGTAGCGGCTGCATCAGCTGCTTCTGTTTGTGAGGGTCTGCTGATGGGAGCAACACAGGGCTTGGGTGTTTAAGGGATGGAAAGGGTTGGGACAGCAAAGCTCAGTGAGTTGAAAACTAAATTCTTGCTTGACATGCTGAAGTGGTGATGGGCTTGGGCTATTCTTTTCAGTGAGGGTAAAGGCAGTCTGCAATATGCTCATAATAGGCAGCTGGTATTGGTGGCTTTTGAGGGCCATCCAGTTCTGGCAAATGGAAGACAGCCTCTGGTGACCTAGTCATGCAGTAAGATTGCTAGTCAAGCACATGACTGTTCTGTCTCTTCTCCCCATCTTTTGTATTGGAACAAGAGGTTGGGGTGTGTTTAATTGACTCCATGACACTTGTTTTGTCTTCTGCTAGGCTGTTCAAAAGTACTGCCCGCATCATGTGGGCCATTACTTGGGCATGGATGTTCATGATACCCCAGATATGTCCCGATCGCTCCCGCTCCAGCCAGGCATGGTGATAACCATTGAACCAGGTAAAAAGCAATGCAGTCAGTGGTGGACAAAAACATGCCAGCACTAAGGATAACAGGATTGCTTTAAGTTGTAAGTTGATCCCTCAGGCCAAAGCATTCAAGTCCTTTCTGGTGAAATTGAAAATGATTACAGTATTAGAAAACCGTATTTCCTTCCCAAACACAGCCAAGATAACAAATTATGGGAGTAAACCGTCAGAAAGTGTCTGTGCAGCAGAAGGCAAAGTGGTATAGACCTCAAACTGCTACTGTTTGACCCACAGCAGCGCAGGTCAATTGCAGTGCAGAGAAGCAGGCTAAATTCACTTGTGCTGTGTTCTGTATTACTGTGACTAAACTACTACCAGTCACTGGTAGTGTAAGTCTCAAGCACTGCAGTCTGCGATTACAGCCATTCACAACTTAGCTTTGCAAATTAGGCATTTCAAGATGAATCTTTCTTTCTGCTTGTCACTGGATTTGGAGCTGTCAGTTGGAAACTGCTATTTAATGCTTGGCTCTTCTCTCTCTCTATTCAGAACATTGTTAAAATCATCACTGTGAGCATAGCATCGAGAGCAAGAAGTGCAGAAAAGCCAGCTGTAATTGTGGAGGTTTTTATTAACATGCTAGTGTCTGTAGGCACTAAGGGAGACTTTCCTTTCTTAGCCCATCAACTTCCATGAGTGAAGGGAAAGAGTATCTTTCCTTATTAAAAATTTTTAGGATCAAACTCATGTTATGATGTTGAAAATCTAGTCTTGCTCTCATGGTTGTGCAGTAAGGGAAAGGAGTTATTCTGGAGAGTGTTGTATGTTACAATTCCCTTCCTTCTTTCAGGCATTTATGTCCCTGAGGATGATGTGAGTGCCCCGGAGAGGTTTCGTGGCATTGGTGTACGCATTGAGGATGATGTTGTGATAACAGAGGATGCACCTCTCATCTTGTCTGCTGATTGTCCCAAGGAGATCTACCACATCGAGCAGCTCTGTGGCCGCAGCTCATGATGCCCCTTCCCTGCCTCTTGCATCCTCCTCAGGAGACACAGCCCTCCAGGGATACAGATCCCTGTAGCTGGCTGTAGTTGTCAAGTGGTGGAGGGTGTGGACAGTTGATGGCTGTTTCCAAGACTGGGGCTGGGAAGTGGAATGCAAAAGGCTTTAGGGATGAAAAAGCATAGCAACCTTTTCTGTGTGCATTTTCCTTCTGATTTGATTAGTGCTGATGTTGAGCTGTTGTAGGACACAGGAGTGGATTCATCCCTCTGCTTTGTGGATCCATCTGTTCTGGTGCCCTTGGAGAGATGAATTTTGTCAGTGCTGTCATCAGGACTTCTGCCTGGTCCCCCTCCAGATGCATAGGTGTAACTGCTGAGACCAGGGCCCCATTTTTTCCCCTTTAGCAGTAGTTTCACAACAGTTAGATTTTTAAAATGAAGCTTTGATAAATGCTGGTTTGGGGGAATAAAGTGTGTCAGACGGCTTTGATTTTTATAGAGCCCTGGAAGGAGGGGTTTTGGTAGTCAGAAAGATGGGTTTAGTTGGGAGATAGTTTTATCTGAAGCCTACTCTATTTGTATTTTAAGGGTAAGGATGTGTTTGGGCCTTGTTCAGGAATATGCAAAATAAGCCAACAGCAGGGAAAAACATCTCCTCTGGTCTTTCAGCTTATTGTAGTGTTTGGTAATTTCAGAAAGGACAGATAGGGCTCAGGAGGTTGGACACACCCATTCTTGCTGTTTTCCACATTCCCTTCTTTTTGTCCCAAACATCCATTCCAGTCTCCTGTTCTGAGCCCACCTCTATCCTGGGAAGTAGGGCCGTGTTGACTGTGCTGGATTCCACTGGTGAGTTACTGGTTGGCACCTAGATGTGAGGTGTCCTATTCTGGGACAGTCACACCACCTCTCTGGCTTATGCTGTAAGTACCAGCAACCTCAGCAGTGCATTTTTGAAGAGGCTGCCCTATGACTAGTCTCGAGTCTATGCAACTTCTATACAGAATTTTCAAAACACCGAGGGCATGATCATAGCTGCCTTTTGGGTTTTGACAAGTGCAGTCAGTAATTAATGCTCTGTGATAGCTGCAAATGTGATTAGGGGCTATGAGGGATGAAGAGTAAAGAGAAGGGTTGTCTTCCCTCAACATCAGTCTACCACCCAGGCCACTGTATGCAGTAGTAAATACACGTACCAGAGGCAAACATGGCATCTGTGTAGTTACTGAAAATGTTTTGACAAACAGCTCTTTAACATGTTGGAAAATTACCTCTCATCCGTGCATCTCCTGTTATTTATGCTTGCTGTTGCATCATATCATCTTACTTCCTTTATTTTTCTTACTTCCAGTATTTTTCATCTGTTATTCTCAATTTTCTTTCTTTTTCTCTTCCTATATTGTCTATTTTTGACCCACTGTAATGTCACTGCATCCTAACCCACATTGCTTTCTAATCAATGTCACTGACTCTTTCCAGGTGTGCCATAATTTCCCACAGTGGATCTAGTCGGAACCATGTTGGGGAGGTAGTCAGGGTTTCTGAGTTCAACCTCTGGCTCTGTTGCTGTGTAACCTCTAGAAAAATCTGCTTTTTTTTCTTCTTTTTTTATTTTATTTTCGCTTAGTGAAGGCCAGATGGACAGTGTCCTGCATCTCTCACTGCTTTTAATGGGAGCTGGGTGCATGCAATGTGGTTTGAATTTGCCACTTGAAATACAGACGACATGTCATCATTTTATTTTTTAAATATGACAGAAAGCAAATACTTTTACAGAGTAGCAAGGTTCACCTATTTCAGAGAGTCTGCTAATCTTTGATGGAAGCCTTTGTAACATGCTCATGTGTTACAGTGATACGTACAGTGTAAATTGTTAGAAGGAAGGCTTGTTAAGTGTGGAGACAGAACTGATGAATGGTTTTGATGTTGTTCTGATCTGTACCGCATTTGTTGTTCCAATTACACCTGTTAGAGCCATGTCAGATGGGACAAATCTTGGATTTTGGAACTATGTAAGCAGCTTAAAATAACATTAACCTGAGAGCTACATGTGTGTGCCAATCTGCACATCTGCCCATGTACCTAACAGAGTTAATGATTGTACTTACTGTAAATAAGCCTTTGAAATACATATAAAAAAGTTATTTTTAAAATAAAACCATTTGTAGAAAGTCATTTCTTGGGCCATCCAGTTGCATGGCTGGGCTGTTGAGTAGATATAAGCACTTCCAGAAAGAGCATTATTTTTCAGAGAGATTTCTAAGTTATCTGTAACCTATCTTGGACTTGAAATAACATTGTCAAATGTATGCACACTCTTAATTCCTGCTCCTCAGGAAAATCCTGCAACTTGCAAACACCAGTAGATCTTAGGAATGTTGCAGATTAATGTTTCTGTCAGTAAAGAAGTGTTTGTGACTCTGCTGAGTGGGGTGTATTGGATCTGCTTGGGCTGCTCTGCTCCACCGTGCTAAGTGTGTCTGGTTTAGGCTGTGCATTGCGCCGTTTTCTGTAATTCCTCCACAGCACTCAGCCACTTCTTCAGCATAAACTGCTGCTAATGTTTTGAATCTGTTGTTCCATGTAAAGAAGAGTGCATTTTGCAGAATATATTAAATTTGAGTCTTAACCTAAATTTTTTAAGGTTTTTTCTCACTTGTTGCAGAGGTGGATAATCAGAGTATCATCTGGCACCTACACACGTGCTGCAGTGTCCCTCGAATACAACCAAATCCATTAATATTTTCCATGACCTTCATCAAGAAACTCTAAAGAATCCCTTCTCTGGCTGCACGTACCCGTGGCGTACCTCCATAATGGCCTGTCCCATACTGCCAAATTTACGATCTCTCTCTGCCACAGAAGAGCTTCCTCGTTCCAACCACTTGGGTGCAGGAGCAGCTCTCAGTGGCAGCACAAGTTGCCAGCTGCTTGGTGAAAGCCGTTGGTAGGATCGCTGGAAGTGAAAGAGAAATGGAGGCATAGGCAAGTTCAGTCAGGGAGACATTTTATGGCCACTATGGCACAGGTCTTAAGGGCATCAGAGTGCAAGAGAAAATTAGAGTCATCCATCCCTGTGAAGAAGTTGCTTTGCTTTTAGAGGAAGCCCAGGAGGCTTTTCTTGGCTTTCCCATTTCACCTCCTACCAGGGGTCTGCCTTGCCTTGCAGAGAACTAGTTAGTAGTAAAGTCCTGTTGCTAAAGTACAGTCTGAGCAGAGGTGCTAATTTGCAAATATACTTCTGTCATCAAAGTGAAAAGAAATCTGGCATTTAACACAATTTGGCATTCTATCTCTGTTATCTGTGAAAAATACAATATGTCTTTCCTAAAATTGCATTCATTATTTTGCAAAAGAACCTGATGGTGTAGGAAAAATCAAACTGAGGGAGCACATAAAAGAGAATGAAGATGGAGGTTTTCGGGAATGTACAGTGCAATATAGAAGATTCAGGAGAAAGGTGTGATTTGGAGCTACGGGGATATGTGCAGGTGGGTGTGAGAGCAAGGAGAGAACAACAGCATATAAAATGGCTGTTCAGTACGTTGTCAGAGTGGTGCGATAGCTCTAGGAAACTGGTTATGCTAACCAGGAGACCCTGATTGATTTGTCCTACTCAGGAGGGGGCAACAAAGGAGTCAGACTGTATTGATGAATTTGGTCTTAGCAGTTAGTTTAATTATTTCTTTTAAAAATCAATAGAATTATCACATGAGAAAGTTTTCTGGAGTTTCATGTTATTGATCATGTGACATCTTAAATAATGTGAAGGGGGGAAAAGTATGTTTCTAGGCAAAATCATTATGATGGAGGGAGCAAGGCTGAGTTTACATGCTCTTATGCTACCCAAATTACTGCTATGCAAATTTAGTAATTACTCCCAGGAGAATTACCATAAAGCAAAAAGAGTTAGGGTTAAACTTAGAAAAAAATCTGTATGAGAAAAATGACAAAAAAAGCTTTAATTATGATGAGATGCTTAATACTTTGTGTAATGGGATAATGAAACTCTGCACTGCAATAAATTGACATTTTTTGATTTCTTTTAAAATGAGTTGTCTAGAAGCCTATATAGGCATCTCTTCATTAGTATGCAGATCTAAACTGCATTTAAGTTTATAATTTTCTGAGATCATTACAGCATCTCTGTTACATGCGCTCCCTGCATGCATGCTCAGCCTCTACTTGATTAAAAGTCATCATCTGGACACTTTCAAAATGCTGGCTCTAGGAGTGAGTCTGACATAAAATTCATTATATTTCAGAGGTATAACAATAAGTTACATTTTAAAGCAGGATTTATAATGAAAATGAATAGTGAGGCATAGTGGGCTCAATGGCATTCAATTTCTCCCCTCAGCTCCTTTCACCTTCTTGGAGTTTGTCTTGCTGTCTTAACTGGCTGCCAGCTCTGAGCCTTCCTCAATAGCAGCAAGCAGAGCAAAGAACTCCTGTGACAAGTTATGCCTCAGCCCATCTGGTTGTTTCTCTGAAGCACCACCTGATACTTGGCTAATCAAAGCCAGGCTCTTCGGAAGATGAGGAACAAGGGAGAATTTCCACATCTTCCATGTGTGTTGTCTTCTCTTGCGGACTCATACCACATATGCCTTTTTGACTATTGTGACAGAGTTATCCATTAACAGTGGCAGAGAAATAATTCCTATCTGGGTAAGACCAGATCTTTGAGCAAAGAAAAAATGAAGAAAGCTGGTTGTACACCCAGGAGTGAGAATGGCTACTGCAGGGTTCAATATGTTCCTTCCCCTTGGATGCTGGGGAAACAAGTAGTACTGCAGGAGTGATAGGCAATCTCTGTTTGGGAGCTTCTTGGGAATGCTGGTCTTAGATAGGCTGTGGTGGGCCAGAACTGACAGTGGTTGAAGTTCTGTGTTGGTTTTCTTGAGACCATGAAAAGCCTGTGGCTTCTTAAAGGAATCTCTTTTTTTTCATGATTTGGGCAGGAATATCATGGCAGCAGAAGGTGGGAACACTCAGCCTGTGGTTCAGTGATCAAATAGGAGAAGTTGGCAGTCCAGCAAAAACTGGCTGAAATTCAATTCTTTCCAGGGGAAAACAGGCTCACTCTGATTTTTTTGTTAGTGAATTGGGTCAATATGAACAGTACTGCGTGAGGGGGAGAGAGGCACACCTTCATTTCATTCCTAGGCAGAACGAGGCTTCTGCCTCTATGTCCACTTACGAGAGATTGATGTGAAGAGGGATTGGCTGCTGATCCAAGTTGAGATTAAGCAGTGTGACTCTTGTACCAGAAAATAGTTAGCAGGTGTCAGGTTACTTATTATCATGGGGATCTTTTACTCAGAAAAGTAGTGGTTTAAGTTTGGGGATAATATACAGTGTTTTGCTAATTTAATGTACACACAGAGAGGCCAACACATAACATCAGTTTTGCCTATGGGAGCTACAAGCAATATCTCTGTAATTAATAGTATTGCATCTCAGTTGTGGACATGCTGGCTGGCATAGTCATTCAGAGAAAGCGCAGCTGTTAATGGTACAGAGTGGGTGAGGGTTTAAGCTACCTTAGTGCAGGTCTCTCACCAGGGTACACAAACAGGAAGCTGATACTGCCCACAAACACCCTTTCTTACCTCCTTTTGGCAGACTGATCATTTCTATTTAGTGGCCTCTGTGAAATTTGTCATTTGTGTTAGCACTTCTGTGCTTTTGTTCTGAAGTGCCATCAGGATCCCATTTTGATCCAGTAATCGCTTAACATTTTAACGTTGCTTCTTGGGTAGACAAGGTCTGATGTGGCAGCAGGGATTAGGAGGTTTCCCACCATGGGACTGAAACTGCGATGGAGCCAGGTCTGTGTGGCTCCTCGCACACCGTGCAGACTCTCCTTCAGCCCAATTGCACACGTCTTCTCATTCTCCGAGGGGCAGAGAGACATGGCCCTGCTGGTGGCTCAGGAATCTCCTGTCCTCACAGCCCCACGCAGCTGCCCCTGTCACGGAGGCCTTAAATCTCCAACTGTCCTTCTAACTGTTCCCCCTCCAGACTTGGACAGGTTCCAGTCTGCAGCCAAAAAAGCTGTAGCCACTGGTGCGCTCATTGCACTGACCTGTTACTTGTTGTCAGATTCCATAAGGTATCACTGAGGTTCCTGTGATGCATTGCAGATATCTGGTACGTATATTGCTTTCTAATTTATGCTTTATCCTGTTCTTTATTCCAGGAGATGAGCTTTTTAACAGCTACATGGGTGTTACTGTGGTGACTGTAACCAGGCAAAAAACATACAGTTCATATTGAGATAGTTCTACATTTGTGGACTTGGATATGATTAAGAGATTTTTAAAGGCATGCTGTATTTTTTTTCCCTTCCCTGCAGAACAGAGAGAGGTTTCTCATAAACTTTCAGTTACATACTATGAACCAGAAAGGTATATGATTCATCTTCAGAAGCATGTGTGTATTAGTATATATATACAAACACTCACATACTATGCCAACAAATGTTGTGACTTCTAGCTAGTTAGAGATTTAGAAGATATTTTCTCCAAGCATAATTAAGATTGTTTAGATATTTGACTCTTCATTTCTTTATGCTTTATTTGGATTTCTTGTTCAGTTTAATTTTGCCTGAGAACTTCCAGGGTTTATAATTCTTGGGGCTTGAATAATTGCATTATTTCTGTAATATATTTTACTATAAATGACTGCCATGTAGCCTTAACACTGCCTCCATCTTCAGGGTTTTTTTTTCAGTTTTACAATGTAATTTTCCTGCAGTATGAGGCTTTTGAGGAGACAATGTTCTGTGATTCTCACCTGAGAAGTGCCTTTCCAAAGAACATGAGAATGTGATATCTGAAAGATGTGATTATTACTCTTGAAATTCAAAACTGTAAACTATGTGAGTTTTGAACCTAAATGCATCATTCTAACTTAATTTCTTAGAGAAATAGAATGAGTGTAGTAAATAATGAAAAGGAGGATTGTAGTGCAAACTTCAATTTCTGATATACTGATAACTGCAAATTAATCTCAGCAATTAGATATGAGAGCTATTTTCCTCCAGTGTGCAACTCTCTGAAATGTTAGTGAACATTAATAATAAATTAGAAGTCAGACAAGCTGTTTCTCTAAGCTCATTTAAGACAAGAAATGCACCAAATGCTACACTTCTTAAGGACTCCATTTTTAATGAGTCACAAGCTAATGGAAGACTGAGTTGAAAATCCTCTAGAATATTGCTTATCTTCAGTTAATAGAGCCACTGAATGAAAGGGTAGGAGGCACCCTTTGATCAAGTAGTTTGAGCGCCCTCCTATTACAGCCATTGCATTTTACCTCCTCAATTTAGTGCTGAGCCTGGTAGCTTGTGTGTGACAGCAACAGATCCCCTCAGTAAGGCATCAAGCCTTGATCTGAAGGCTGGGGGAGGGGGAAGGATGAGATGGAGAATTGTTTCTTTCAGTCATTTGCTCCAGCTGTTAACCACCCCATCATTAAAAATCTATGCACTTTTTTTTTTGCCTGGCCCCTGCCCCCGCAACAAGCATTGTAAGGAGGATAAAGAACAACTTTATATGCTTAATGAAGAGCGTGGATACCTGCTCTGGGTTCAGTTTAGCCTTGACAGTGGAACTGTGACTGCACTTCCATGAAAATGTCTACAACTCTGAACTTCGTGTCCTCCTTCAGTTGCATTTCTCAGAGTCCCCAGAGCTGCACAACAGGGCTGTTCACAGTTTAGCAAGGAAAACAAACCCAGAAGGATGAAGAACCAGAGAGGAAAGGAAGAAAATAAGCAATGAAGGGACATAATTATTGCATCACTCTCCTCTGGTAGAAAAGATCTTGGACGTGTACGCACACACAAAAGTAAATCAAGTATTTCAGTAAATAGTGCCATCTTATTTTTATTCTTTTTTCCCTAGTACTTATAATCTTTGTGTGTTTAAAAAATTAAATGTCAAGTTGCAAAAGGGGCTGCAAAGTGATTTCATGGGACCTGGTTCCATACTACATTGGGGCCTGCTCCTCCTTTTGCCACCATGTTCCCATAAAATAAGCAATTGTGCAGGACATAAGCATAGTCGAAGCATTAACTAAATCTCCTATTTATTCCCTGAATCACCTGGCTTTGCAGATCTCAGACTACTTGTGCCAACACAAAGTGAAAGTCCAAATCCTGAAGAGTAAGTGCAAAGGAGAGAAGTGAGTAATGCTGTGAATCAACGTTGCCTGTTAGGTTACATTCTCGACCTGAGGATCTGGTGTTTCAGAAAAGGCCTGTCCCTGAAGCCATCTTTGTTCTGTTACATTTGGTCACCTTAACCTCCTCGGCAGCAAAGGTCTTCCCTTGAAATCCTCAACATCTGTTTGGTTTCCTTGCTTCATGTTTGAAATCTAACAGGCACGATACAAATTTATGTACCTCCAACTTTTTTCCATCCCCCTTGGTAAACTTGTATACATCCAGCTATAATATAACAGGTAACAAGCAGTGTGTGGCTGGAGATGTTTCCATCCTGTCACCTGATGTTTTCAGAATGTTTCCATTGGAAAGTTTGCTCCAGTTTGCAAGCTGGAATATATGAATGCCACTGAGAGTAGTTAAAAGAAGGAGTGACCCTTTACAGGGTCCATAATCTGGATTTGCGCTGGAAAAAGTTTGGAGAAGGTCTGGAGAAGACTGACCCAGGCAGCCTGTGCCAACCCAAAGGACTGACCAAGAGGATGTCTCCGTGAGAGCTTTATTTCACACCTGGAGGAGAAGGGGTGTGAGCCTGTGTCCAACACCCACTCTGTGCTTTTCTACGTGCTTCCTTTTCAATTCAAACAGGAGGAAGTAGATACACACCTACTTTCCTCTCTTCAGTAATTAGTCCAAGAGGAGTGACTATGTTGTGCAGCGATTGCAAACTGAGCACACAGTGATGGGCAGTCTCTGTTGCTTAGTTTGAATTCATTATTTCCTCTGTCTTTTCAAGGCAGTCATACCGTTATTTTGCTCTCTGTGTTCCTTGCTCCATTTTGAATTTTGCTCTGCTCACGCTCTTCTATTCAGTCTCTCGTAACCTGCTTGTGCCACAAAGCATTATTTTATCTGGAGAGGGATGGCTGGACTGATTATAATATTTAATCTATTTCATGAAGTTTTCAGAGGTCACCAGTGTCAAGGAACAACAATTTGCATTATCTCCTTTATTACATGTATTATTTTTTCAAAATAATATTATTTAACTGCCATATGGAAACTAGAAGAATTCTTGAAATTTATGCTTGTTGCTGATGTTATATCCTCCTTCCCCAACTTTGAAATTGTTACATAAAATAGGAGATTAAAAGCATTTTTTATTCTAAAAATCTGGGCAAGATGGAAATTGATTATTTCTATCTCTTTTATTAATGAAACATTTATAAAAAGAATAAAATTTTAAGTAGATGAACTGATTTAGAAAAGTTAACAATATGAATTGTAATTAATTTTGTAACTATTTAACATATAAAAGTTTTAAAGTAACCTTTTCACTGCTCCCAGGTATAAAAACTGCTAAGTAAATAGTTGAGATGAGGCTGGTCTTGAACTGGCATGTTCCAGTATCTGACTGGTATGATTTCTGTACGGTTTGCTATTGAATATCATACCCTCAGCTGATCCTCACAAAAGGGCCAGCTGAAGTATCGCTGAGCCTGTGGAAGCAGGGACAAGTGTTTCCAGTGTTATCCCAGCAGTGTTTTCGTTGTTAGGATAGGACTTTTGCTCCCATGAATTCCAGTCTTGATGGAAATGACTGATGTTCTCTGTCATACTCTAATGAGTATTTGAAACATTAAGTATTAACGATGCATTCAAATGATGGAAAAAATTTCTCCCAACTGATTTGGCCACTCCTTTACCCAAAGGACTGATCTCCACGTGACTGCTGCTATATTAGCTGGATATAGCAAGACTACAAGCTCTATATAAGCTTTGCATACAGGGCCAGAAAAAAACTTCCGTTCCGTGAGAAAATAAGATCTTTTATTGCAAATCTGTATGTATGTGCTAGCACTAATGGCAGAAGCTACAGTCCCCCTTTTAATTAAAATACTCAATGCTATAATAAAAAGACACTGTCTTCACTTTTTCTGCAATTTTAGAGTGAAAATAAACTAGCGCAACAGTTTTAGCCTAATGTGTGCAGTGTTCACGGAGAAATGCTTCATCCACTCATTCCTTGGGCAGTTTGTATTTTCTTGGGAAAAAAAGGCTTGAAAGATTTGAACCTTGACTGCTTTCCAGCAGTTTTCTGTGCATCATAGTAAATAAATAAAAAATTGTTGCCTCTTTTTCACACTCTCCCTGACTGTTCAGAGAATGAAATGTTCTCACTCTAGAGTCAAAGCCAACACACACACACACACGCTGCCTTGTGCAACTAGTCTTTTCCATGTAATTTGAATAAATCATGAATATTCAAAATACCGTTACAAGCATCTGTGCAAAAATAATATAAATACTGTTGTTCACAGCCAGACTAAAGGAGTTCTTCAGACTATCATGAGCAGTCCACTGCACAGCCATAACGTTTAGAAAATGGAAAAGCAATTGTACTACTCGTGTTCAGGTTCCCTGAACTTAAATTCAGACAAAGTTTATATCGGGTGGGACAGAGGACTCGCTTTCATCTCAGAGAAACATATCCTTGAAAATTATCAGTATACTTTGGTGACACACACCTGTGAATCTGGAAGAGAGAACAAATTTTAACGTCACAAATGTGTATACATCTGTTATCCCTGCTCCTGGAAATAGTTTGAGTTTGTTCTTTTTTTTCTTAATATAGTTTTGGATTTGCAGAGGGATGGTTTCTACAGAGTTCCCTGGTGTTAGTTACATTAGTGTTTTATAGGCTGCTCATGTAAACTCGAGCTTTCATGGCTCTCAGTATTAGCTTTTTAATAGAACACAGTTCATATTGGCTTTTATTGCTGTTTAATTTAGGCTGGGTTTTTTATGTGGTTCCTCAGCTGCAAGGAATGTGGCCTATACTTGTTTGAAACTTCTTGTCTGTGTAAACCTGCTATTGATGCTCTTATTTCTTGCATATTATAACATTCTCTAAGAGCTAAACTTGCCTGTATTTGCCATGCAGATCAATTACTCTACATAGCAAACCCAGATCTCATATTACAGCTGGGAACCCACAACTTTTAGATAGTAACTGGAAGTCTTTCCTACCTTTGTACCATATATTGGTTGCTTCACAGATATAGAAATCCATAGCTGAAATGTCTACATAAATCATTCTTAGCAAATAGTGCTCCTTATTCAAAGGACACATGCAAATAATTCCCAGCCAAATGTTAGTTATTGGCTTCTAAGTTCATGTGCTTTTTGAAGTGATCCCAATATCACCCTTCTCTTCTGGACATCTGAAATTGTTTAAAGCAACATGTGGTTTCTCACACTTCTATAAGAAAAAGGCAGTTTCTAAATAGGGTGAGGAAAAATGTAATTTAAATAAAAGCGTATTTGATTTCAGATATTCATGTTTATAACAACAGCTTTACTCAACGGAGAGAGAATTTTCTACCCAAAAAGATCTTCCTTAATAGTTATTCTAAATAAATGTGTATGGACAATTCAGTTAGTTTTGAAAACTGTGTAAGATACTGAGAGGAACAAAGCTTACATTTTCACAGGTCTCATGAAGAAAGGATGTTCTTTCTTGTGCATTAATGTGTTTCATCAGAATTCCTGGGAAGCTGTCCAGCTATACATAGTAAATATTTCATATACCAATAAAATGATTCCTCAGCAATTCAACCACTCAGCACAAATGAGATTTAATTTATGGTGAATATCTGCACCTGTTAAACAGTGAAATAGGCTCCTGACATAAGTGATCCTTTCATACTGTTATTTAGCTAAATTTTTAAAAAGGTCCTATATTTCCAAGATATAATCTTTTAAAGATCATCATTTCAAAAACATTCTCAGGCCTGAATTTTGAGCTTACATGTTGAAGAGGGAATATATCTAATTTTGAGCTAAAATATATATATATATATGTGGGGCTAAGATCAACACCATCAAGGGAAGGCATAAAATGTGCCTATTACTGAATTAGGCATTTGTTTTGTATGTCTAATGATAAAATCAATACGTGGCTCCATCAGAGGAGAGATCCATCAGCGTCTATCTTGCTAGCATTCAATCAAGAGATTGAATTTGCAAGCTTTGAGGGGGAAAAATGTTCCTCCATCTTTTGACAATCCATATTACACTAATTCAGACAGCTTTTACACAGAGCTGCACCAGTTTACTTGAGCATTGCTTTCAATATCATTTCATTAAACCAATGCAAAAGGTTGTGTTGACCTTTTAAATACATACTTAAATCTGATCAGTGAAGCTTAAATCGATTAGGAACTGATTTTAAGCCAACTCTTAAGGCAAATAAGTGTGTCCACACAGGGTTCTTCAGCTGTTCAACAAATTGATGTGAAATTCAATTTAAATTAAGCTGCTGCAAACAAACCACTGTTGTGTTGTAGGCAAGTCCCAAATGCACCCTCCAAGTTCTTTGAGAACTTTGTTTTTTACTAATACAGAGAACGCAAGGGAAATACAGTTAATGGAGTGAAATCTGCTCATCCATGTCAGGAAAGGAGGAGTGACTATAAACCGTGGTAAGAGGCTTCCAAACAAATGTCCAAGGCTCAGCTGAAAGCTGCATTTGTAAACCTATTCACTGCCAAACGACAGATGCTTTCTACTCTTCTCTCTTGGCAGCTGTAACTACAGTGAACAAGACGGGTGGCACCAGGAATACCAGCACTCACCAGACTCTGGCAGAAGGAGGCCTCCTCCATATCTCACAGGCTGAAAAGACCCAAAGTGAGTTTAAAGGAAATCCCCCCAGTTCGTGTTTGCTAGTGATCAGGACACCTGTTTCCAACCTTTAGCTTGCCTTCACAGCAGCTCTGGTGTTTTCACAGAGTACATTATTCCTCTCTCCCGAAACCTCACCAAAGACCTTTGCAGGACTACAGAGAAGCCTCTTTATTTTCACAACCCGTAAGTCTACAAGGTAATTTCAGAGATTTTGCTCTCACAGCGAAGAAATGGGAGGTGCAAAATGAACCGCACTCCATGTTGATTCATAATGTGAGTAAGATGGAATGAAATAGATATTTGTAGAAGGGGGAGATTACCTGGTAATTTCTACACATCAACAAACATGCAACCTGGATTTTAATGACTTGAGTTTAAAAATACAGTGAAATACAAACATACAATCATAGAATCAAACAATGAAACACACTGTGAGAGAAAGCAAGGGTGAAAGGAGTAAACAGAAGGATATAGTAAAGTAAATTGAGGGAAAACTGGTTTAGCATAAGCAGTTACCTTACTTATTAATCAGATACCATGGGAACTCAAGTTGCACTCGTGAGCTTCTGGGCATTATTGGTCCTTCAGCATCCCCAGCTCCACCCTTACACAGATAAATTGTCATCTGCTCAGTTTTCCCCTGTCCTAGAACTGAAGAAAGTGAACAGTTTGCTTTATACTCTCCAAAATGTTTTAATTAATTGACAGTTTCGCTGTATGAAAGAAGAGTTTTAAGGGCTCTTCCTCAGTTTCAGACCCCTTTCTAACCAAGGGCTGCTGTTTGATGGACATTTGCAGAAGCTGTCTTTGCCAGTCCAAGCCCCAACAGGGGAAATGTGTCTAAATGCAAAGGCAGGTACTCTGTCACTCTTTGTATGAATAAAGGAAGGTAAGAGAATGGGGTTTTTTCTTTTCCAGGGAATGAAGAGGGTCTGGTAACTGCTGATGGTTTGGATGTGTGTGGTATTGCCAGGTCTTTGGCCTCTTTCCAGCTTTCCTGGTTCCTCAAAATTACTTATAATATTCCCATTTAGACCTGTGCAACTGGTGTTGAATGATTGCAGACTCACAAAGAACATTATGGGATGTGAATGAACTTGAACATAAGGATCTTCCATGATAAAATCATGAGTATTTCTATATATTGAGGTAGAAGAGTCAGCTCCTTGGTAGTTGTAATAAACTCTCGCCCAATATAGAACTTCCTGTGTGTCTTGCTAAAACCTGAAGCTGTTGCATCTTGTACTGTTCTTTTTTTTTTAAGTCTTGTTGATACTGCAGTCGGGTGGGAGAGCATTCCTAGTGCTGGATATAACTCTTTCCTCTTTCTCCTAGCACAGATTGGAATCAGTGAATTCTTAAAGTGGGTTGAGAAGTATAATTTATGAATGTGGTGAACAGAGGGAAAAAGAAAAGAAAAGAAAAACAACAAAAAACAAACCAACAAACAACAACAACAAAAAACCCCACAGTGACTGGAGGGGGAAGAAGAAGGGGCTACATCACGTTGCAGCGGTAAAAATGACCAAAGCACTAGGCCCTGCACCCTACACTTGTTTCTCTGCTCACTCCTAATTTCTGCATTTCCTGAAGCTGTCACGATTGGGGAGCTCATGCCTTCTGATCAGAGAAAGCTCGCTGTTTCAAATGGCCTTTCCTTCCATTGGGGTTCTGGAGATCCAGTTGTGCTGAACTTTGAAACTAAAGGAACAGATGTTTGACACAGCAAGATATGTTCAAGGTATATGAACCTGCAAAGAAGTATGACGGTTTATTAGTTTATTATTCCGTATAGAACTGGCAGGCAGAGTGTCTGTTGTGTGATTCACTGACCTAGATGCTGTAAAGAACTTTCCAGTAAAGTCCAGTGTAAGACTAAACTCAGTATTGTTTTTATCTAGGCGTTCATGACAGCGATTAAATGCCAGAAATACTTGAAATCCTGCATTCTGAGAACTATCTGAGTTAGGTACCACCATTTTTTGTTCCTGCTTATGCTGGTATGGGAGGCAGGGGACTGCCAGGCTCCCTCACTCCTGGCTTCTTTTATAGTATCCATACAGATTTTTAAACCAGTAATTGCCACGTCTGTGGGCCACCTAATTAATTTTTCTCATTCCTTTGTGTCTTTCCAGGAAGAAGTGGTATAAAATTAGTTATTTTTTGCCTGAAATCACATCTGAACTCCACCTTCAAATTCCTTCCCCCCAAAAAGGTTGAATTTGGATTTTACAGTTTTCAATTGCCAAATAGTGTCTTTGCTATGACTACCGAGGGCTTCAACAAAATGTTTTTACTGATAGCAGCACCTGTATTATTGCAAGAAAGAAGGATGGCAAAGTTGTCTTGTTGAGCAGTGCCTGCAGTTAGGAAATTGATTCAGTTAGAAGAGATCTTTGGAGGAATTTTGGAATACTGTATTTTTTGTAAAAAGGACAAAGAATTAATGGGGGAAGACAAAGGCAAAGCTGTAGATCAATGGTTGTCACCTCCTTTCAAACAGCATCAAAACCTTTAACTCAGTGGAGGTAGATTCCAGACCTCCCTTTGTTGATAATGTTTTTTTCTGATTTTAGTGCTTATTCCCTCTCTGCGACTCTCTCCCCACATTCAAGACTGTTAAGGACAAGTTGTAGATAAGAGTATCTGTAAACAGTGTTTTAGTGTCTCCCACACAGCAGTCTGGAGCTGCCTCTCCTCATGTTACTGAAGGTTCATGGATTTCCCAAATCAGTAGGAGTTTTATATGCAGGCAAGCTTGTGTTACTACTGTGGTTACTCTCATGGTTTTTCCTGGCTACTGTTAATTAGCCTGGCAAATCTTCCAATATTGCTTACAGGCAGTAGTAGATGAATGTAACTACTCGTACCGAGAGATCATAACATTTCCCTTTTTTTGCATCCTCCTTAAAAGGATAAAAGGCACTTTGAAAACTTGTCTAAGCAACAAAGGAAATACAGACTGTGACCTGGTGCTCAAATGATGTCTCTAGTGTGGGTACTGGTGCTGTCTACTGCACTTGGACTATCCCGTAGCCTCCTGTCACCTCATGTAGTTATTCTGGGTTGTTCAGGTTAAAAACAGTCCCTCCCCTGCTACTGCTTTCCTGTTATCCTCTGAAAGACTTGCCCTCCCTCTGAATTACAATCCCAGCCTTTGTCTCTGACAACTCCTCAGGATCCCAGCTCAGGTTAAAGCAGGACTCTTTCTCTCACAAAGCCTCACTCTTTCCCACGTATGCGTTTTTGTCTCGGTTGCTGTAGGCAGTCTCATCCTCCCACCTCTTCTTCAGCCTTGTGAATAAAAGAGGAGGCCAGGCTGCAGCTGACCGAGAGGTATGGTGACTCTTGGGCCCACGTCCTGTCTCCCCAGGTTACGGGCAGCATAGGGAGCCCTGGCTTCCCTGGGCACCTCCGCACGGGCTGCGAGCCTGGCTGCAGAACATGTCCTCTCCTCTGAGCAGAAGCTGGGATGCTGGTTTCTCTCGGGAGGTGGCAGCACAGCCGGATGCAATCGGCAGTTGCAGCTTGGCGCCCAGAACTGCAAAAAGGGGTGCCAGGGAGGAGGTGGGGTTGGTCTTGGATTCCTTCTGAGGTGGAGCTCTTTAGTTGGGGGGCGAAGATTAAGATGGGGAGCCTGGGGGTGTTGAGGCGTAGGAGGGATAGCTTTAAACCCTTTCTTGAAGCGTAGTGGAAGCAGCCCAACATCCTCACCATATTGCACCGGGGTCCGTCTGCCCTGATCACTTTTCTCCATTTCAGCTGCAGCTGATTGTCAGGCACAGTGCGAGGCTGAGATGTGCCCACTGTGGGGACAGCGTCATTTGTTGAGCCTAGAGCCACACTCCCAGCTACTTTTTTTTCATGTGTGGGGAAAGGCTGTCTGCAGGAGATTGGGCGCAGCCATTAAGTATCATGGTTTTTGCAAGCACCTACTTACCTGCAGGCTGCCGTGATGGCTGTGCGTTATTTTACCTGCAAGTTATCAAGCAGCTTTAGGTAAAATGCCACGAGAAAAGAAGAGCGACAATTAGTCACCATCCCATTAAATGCTACAATCTGCTTCTCTCTCAGAATCTCATCTTTTTAGCTAGATTATTGGGGACTGGAGGCTCCATTTCTCTTGTGAGGCTTTAGTAATGGATTGCAAAGCCAGGGGTACTATATGCAGTATAATGTGACCATCATCTGGAAAACATGTGCAGAGGCAAGGGGTTTGGGTTTCTGCAGAAACCAAGCAGTCTGGTCCAAAAATCTATGGCATATATTGCTTAATCTACCCCTCTGGCTCTGTTCTTTGAATTCAACTTTCCCATGCCAAGTGAACTAAATCAGCTGGGGATGCTACAGAGCCTTGGTGAGAGGTTGTTTGCTTACTTCATGAACTTCGAGAAGTTTTGTGGCAACACAGAAAGACAGTAGATTCAGTTTTGTCCCGACAGTAATTTGTGAATGCTGTTTGTGGGTTTGGGCATCCAAAAGCAAAGGGTGCTAGAAATTCCAACTTAGTCAATTCAAATGGTTTTAGTAGCATCAGCAACTGGAGGGCAGCCAGCCAGTCCTACAGTTCTTTACAAAGTAATAAAATGCACTTGTTTTTCACTCCTTGGTTTGCAACCATTGCAACCATTGAACGGGAACTAGTCTCATATACCAGGTAATTCCTGCTTGACACTGCTTAGGGCACCATTGAAACCACACCTTAAGCAGGCAGCACGGAGAGGGCGAAGCACAGAAAGGCAACAGAAAAACTTGAGGTTTGTAAGTACCTAGAAAGGGGCCAACTCCCTTTTTCTCCCCACTCTTTGCTCCTGGCAGTCTCGAAAGGCCCATCCCTACTCTCATGACTGCACAGTAAAAGAAAGTTGTTGCTCTGAAGAGTGCTTGAAAGTGTTGTAATTCTCTCCTCTCTTCCAGAGCCATTTCATTCCTGAGAGTGACACTGAGTGCCCCAGTGAGATCCTGTGGCATTGGTGTGCACGCTGAGGATGAGTCGTGATAACAGAGGATGCACCGCTCATCTTGTCTGCAGGGCTGGGAAGCAGAATGCAGAAGGCTCATACAGCAAGGACTGGAAAGCAAAGCAACCTCTCCTGTGTGCCTTAGTTCTGGGGGATCCTCCTGCTGCTGCATTGATCCCTCTGTTCTGGTGTCTTGGAGGTACAAGTTTTGTCAGTACCACCACTACCGGGCCTTCTGCCCAGTCCCCGTGTGGATGCAGTTGCGGAGAACCAGGGCTGCAAGCAGCTGCCCCTCCACTAGCAGTTCCACAGCAGTCCAGCCAGGTACACACCTTCAAAGGGTGCATGTATGGGGGAGAGGAATCATTTGGGGGATAAATCCCACATGGGAAAATGTTGGTGGCTGCAGAAAAACAAAACAAAACAAAATAAAGAAAAAAAAAAAAACAACAAAAACACACACACACACACACAAAAAAAAAAAAAAAAAACACACAAAAACCCCCACCAACAGCATGAATGTGAAGGGCAATGACCAAAATGAAAGACACTGAGTTTGGAAGGTAATTGCGCTGGGGTCACCGGGTTGTTGGTACCTTGCCTTTTGGAACAGTTTTTGACAACTGGGAGAGGGAGTTTGTCTCATTTTAATTGGGACTAACCATATTCAGAGCAGTTGTCATGTGTCACCTAGTCTGTCTGTCTCCCTCCCTTTTCAGCTTGGCAGTCTCCTCTTTTTCCCTCGCATGTCCCAGTGATTTGAAAAATGATCCATTCTTCAAAGCATCCCCTGTAATTTGGACCACAGTGTTATATTTCTTTTGAGGCCGATGCTTTTCAAAGCTGCAGCCTTTCTTTCTGCGGCAGCTACTGACACCTCTCTATAACATACAGCCATAGGAGAGGGAAAACAGGTCTGAGGGGCTTAATTTTTCCTAGGGGGAAAGAAATGAGAGATGGCACTAAAATGAACAGAAAACAGATTATTTCACGTATGGTAAACAGGGTAGCTCAGACCTTTTCATGAAGTGCAGGACTATTAGGGATACCATCACTAATCTCACTTTGTGAAGCACTCTGAAGATCTCTTAATGCACTTCCCATTGTTGATATTATGTATCTGCATACACAAATCAGTAAATATTCATTAAATAAGCATGCAGTATATGTTCTACTCTACACCATGTTTGTTATCTTTTTTTCTGAAAACACCACCACCTTTTTGCAAGACTTAAGATCTGTATTGCTACGTTCTTTTTGCTGCCAGATACAGAAAGATAAATCCAGGCCATATGATTGCTGGCTGCATGGCTTTTACCCATTGGCAACCATTTCCCTGTGGTGACATCAACTGAGGTGGGAAGACTATAATTTTATATTGCAGTAGTCACTTAAAGTGAAAATGAATGTTAACATTTCTCTGGTATGTATATGCCCTAGTATACGTATTTGTTCAATGTCTTGGATTCCTACGGAGCAATGTCCTACTGGGGACATTACCATTTAGATTTAGGTTTAAAATTAATGTTTGTATTAAAAAGAGTATCTTGCAAATTCTGCTTTGAAAAGAGATATTTTCTTGAAGGTAAAAAATAAATTTTCTCAAGCACCCACCTCCCATTTCCAAATTACTCCTTTGCAATGGCTTTCACTACAGACCTGAATAAGGAGCAACGAAAACCTGAATCTGTGCAGTTTCATTTTATTGTTAGCAATAAGTGATGCACCATAGCTGAGCAGCATGTAGGAAAAGAGGCAGTTAAGTGAAATGGAAGCTTTCCATGCAGGTAACTGGAGGTGTTAAAGTGAGTATAAACGAGAGGGCATTTTTCTTCTTCAAACTTACTTTTACCATCCAACTTTCAAGCTCAACATGACGCTGCAAACATTTAGATATGTGCTTAACTCAATGCAACAAGTGTTACGTGTCTTTCAAATATGAATCCCACTGAAAATTATTCCAACACATCCAGTGGCAGAATCATCTTCTCCTTACCGCAAGCCCCTGCTTTAGTTTAAAGTTTATTTATAGACTACCAGACATCCCATCCCAGCAGGCACTGGATCACAAGTAAAAGCTGTGTGCATACATCAAGATGGATATGATGGAGCCGGACTGGAACTGTGCTATCTGGCCCAAATGCTTATGGTAGGTACATATACACAGGTATGGTTTCCTGTATATACACAAGGGAATGTCCTTTCTATGCTTCTACCACCCCCTCCTTCCTGCACTCGTGCAGCAACATGGTGTGCAAATGGATTTTGAAGGGTTGACTCTGCAGAGATATAGCAGGTCTACAAGGACCTGCCAAGCCAGGTGACATGTCAAGACCCGCTGTTGTCCTGCTGAGGAGTATCATCCCCCCAGTTTCTGTATCTTGGGGAATACTACTACTGGCCTTCTCAGAAAAGTACTCTGAGCTGTACTAAGGAAGAGAGGAAGTTCCCAGCAGTAGCTCCCATACCTGTTGTCTCAATCTTTGCAACAGAATAGGCAGGGCTTGGGCAGCTCTAGCAGCACAAGTAAATCCCCTGTTAATTATAACTACCATTAGCCTAATTTGCGTGCTAAAAAGAGTAGTCAGGCCAATGCGAATTCTGTGTCTAGCAATTCGATGTTTTTAAAATAAAAACTGGACTGGTAGTGAACAAAAGGGCTACAGTCGTAACACCAACGACCCCATCTCATTCCGCACATGCTGGAGATCAATTACGATGGACGGGAACGAGCTGAAAGTTTAAGGGGTGAAGCAGTTCCTGTGAGAGCAGAGAGACAAACCCCCAGCGGTCTTCCTGAAGTCCTGTAAGGGAACCGGAGCCCGGCGACAGCGGCGAAGCGGGGCCGGGCTCCCACAGAAGCGCCCGCCACCCGCCCCGCGCCCTGACCCGGCGCCCCGGCTGTGGGCGGGGCGGCGGAAGCGAAGCGAAGCGAAGCGAAGCGAAGCGAAGCGAAGCGAAGCGAAGCGAAGGCGTTTGGTGGGCGGGCTGAGGGAGGGGAAGGGGGCCCGGGGTCCGCCCCAGCATTTCGGGTGCGTACCTCTTTAAATGCACCGCACCACCCCTTCGGGTTGAGCAACCCCAACCCCGCGGGGTGGGGGGGAAGGATGAGGTAACGGCGCGCGGCCCCGCCCTGACCGGCGCCTTTAAGAGCCCGCCTCACGTGACCGCGCGCCTGGCCCACCCCCGCACCTGTTGTCGGCGGGGCGGGGCGGGGCGAGGCGGTAACCCCGCCCACCCCTTCCGCTCGCCCTCCCCGCCGCGCATGCGCGCACGGGGCCGGACGGGTGATTCACGCATCCAAAATGGCGGCCGCGATGGATGTGGACACCCCTAGCGGTACCAACAGCGGCGCCGGCAAGAAGCGCTTCGAAGTGAAGAAAGTGAGGCCCGGCTCCTTCGGCTGGGCCCAGAGGGAGGAGGAGGCCGGGGCCGGCCTGGCGGCGGGCGGGACGGGACGGGACGGGACGGGGGAGAGGGCGACTTCCCGCTGCCCTCCCGCAGCCGGGCGCTTGGTTCCGCACCGGCGGGGGCGGGTGGTACCTGCGGGGGAGTTTGGCGTGCGTCTGGGCCAATGGCTGAGGCGGGCCGCCGCACGTGGAGCGGAGGCCGGCCAATCGGCGGGCGCGGCTGGCGTGGGCCGCGCGGGCGGGAGGAGGCGGCGCTGAGGGGGCTGCACCTGGCCGGGGGCTCCGCAGCTCCGGCCCCTCCCGGCCCCGGGCGCCGCCCGCCCTGCGGGGCCTCGGCAGCGCCGTGCCCGCCTCGGCCGGGCCGGTTCGAGCTGCGCGGAACCTTTGGCTAGCTCGGGGCGGGGAGCAGGGGTGGTGTGCTGCCTCCTCCTCCTCCTCCTCGGCCCGCGCCCTGCCGCCCGAGCTGCCCCATGTGCTGCGTAAGACGCTTTGCACAAATTTGTGTGGTCGTTTTTTTTTTTTTTTTTTTATCCCCCCCCACTTCTTTAAGTCAATCCATAACAAAATGTATGTAGTCAGCAGATGCTCTCCTGTCACTCTGGCTTTTGTCTGCTTTCCCCAAAACAGCCCTAATATTGCTATTCTGTCCAGTGGCACCAGTTTGCCTGTCAGCTGGATCCTGGTGATAGTACAAACCTGTTACAGGAGGGTGCAGAGGAAGTAGGGAGTCTGCATGGGCTTGTTGTAAGGTAGAGTTTGAGGAAAAATGACCCCTGGACTGGATATTGACAAACATTTCCAGTGATTCCTGCTCATAGATGTAGTTTGTTTGAAATGCAGCTGTCATCAGTGATGATGGAAACCCCTAGTTCTGTACAGGGCTGCAGGTTTATGCAGAAGTAGATGTTTGGATGACAGGACTGCTTGTTCTTTGGAAATAGGGGCAGATACAATAGCACATGAATGGGGCAGGAAGTGGCACCTTTTATGTATCAGTGGCATTCCTCCTCCCCAGCAAGATACCAGGGTGCCTTTGTCGCATGTGTGGCCCAGTACAGGTTTGTGGATCATAAGAGTCGATCATGATGGGACAAGAGATTAAGGAGTGTGGGAGAAATGAGGGTGCTGGGAACTTTTATATTAGCTTCCTTGAAATGTGGTTGAGGTCCTTGAGAGATGAGTACCTTGGCCAGAAGGCTGGCTAGACTGGAAGTTGGAAGATGAGAAGAACTGGGATCACTACGGTCACGTTTCCTAAAAGATCTAGTAGTAGTGTGATGACTTTTTATATCAGTACTAATGAAAAATGGAAGTGCATATAAAAACTGATATGGCTTATCAGTACTTGGCAGTCTGCATAACTCCTTCAGAATCCCGAACTGAGGGGAAGCAATGAAAACATTGAGACGTAAATGAAATGAAGTTGAGAAGATTTACTGTGGTACAGTCAAAACAATCATATACTGAAAATATGGAAAACCCCCAAACTATCTAGACTACTTAAGTAGTAAATGAAGTTTATCCTGGCTACCAATATGCTGTTGGATTGCTTTGAATATGGAAGACAAGCCCATCTAATGAATTTGCAAAGGACCTGATTAAGATGTTTTATGGGGAGGAATAAAAAGGCGTTATGCTTTTTTGTGTAGCTTGTCTTAAAGTCCTCATTCTGAATCAGTTTTCTAAAATTGCCATGGAAACTTGTATCCAACCCTTCCCCTGAAGTAGCATGGTACAGAGATATTCCTTTTTTTTTAAATTTTCTTTTATAAAAAAACCTTTGAAAGGTTAATTTAGTAGCACTTCCAGATTTCTGTATTCAGCCTTGCTGGTAGGTCATTGCCTAGTAACATTTTTGCAGAAGAGATTGTTCAGGAGTGAGCGAAAGGTAGCATTAGAGATGTTTTTCATTCTTGGCCCCAACTGCTCTGAGGGGTGATTACTAGAAGAACTGCTGCAAATAATGTAAATTCCTCTTAACTAAATGTCATCTGGATTGGCATTTCTGCAAGGCGCTATGTCCTTTCCATCAGAATTGAGGATATGTCATGAGCTGCATCCTTGCCTCTGGATCTTGAATAGAAATGCGGATGTTTGCATTTGTTTCACAAAAAAAGGGGACTATGGGAGTTACCTTGTTGTTTCTGAAGTTGTAAGGAGACACTGGGTCTGGGAGGTGTGCAAGAGGAAAGTACCACTAATTTCTAGTAAGTTTCTGAACTCATGATAAAGAATTACTCTGGACCTCTAAGATTTTTTTTCTTATAATATCCCAGCTTTTCCCTTTAAAAAATACATGAGATCTTGAGGAATAACAAGGATTTCTGTGTGCAAACCTATATTTTTCTTTTTCTTTTTTCTCCCCTCTAGTGGAACGCAGTAGCTCTGTGGGCATGGGACATTGTGGTTGATAACTGTGCCATTTGCAGAAACCATATTATGGATTTATGTAAGTAAATGGTGGGGAATACGGTTGACAGTTTTGACTTGTATGTGATGCACAGCTGAAATTTCCCCTGTTGAGGGTATAATTCAGCAAATGCAGCTTTCAGTTAGGAACTAAGTCTTCATAGTGCAAATATTAAGCTCTATTTTATATAATGCTGAAGTCCTGTAATCTGTTTTTTGTGATCTCTGCCACCATACTGCTTTTCCCTCACCCTTTGCTTGTAAAGAGTAGAATCACTTGGTACCACATTTACAGACAAGATGATGTTGCTGAGAATATTTTGGATGCAACAAAGAAGAAAAGGAGTAATAATAAAGAGCCAGGAGGAACTGAAGTTATGCAGGATTGACAGGTACTTTTCACAAAGAGAGGTATTAGATTTTTGAGTTGAGGATGTTGCTAAGGGTATCAACTTTTTGATGACACTCATTAGTATGAAATCTTGCAAGACTTCACGTGTCTGTCCAGGAAAGGCTTGGACCAGTGACTCCATTTGACTCCTCATTCTACGAAAACTACCTTGCATAAGTTAATTAATACTGTAGTATGGGGAATTTTGCAGCCACGTAGAGAATTAATTGTTCATTTACAAAGGAGAATAATCAAATGTCTAAATCAAAAACAATGTATTTCTACTACTGGTTTAATTTTTTGCTGTATAATCTCGATGGTTCAATTAACAGAGATGCTTGATATGTAGGTAAATAAAGTGATAATGTAATTAAGTATACAAATTTCTATCATGAAATAGGTGTGCATACACGAAGCCTCACTGGTTTCAGTCCCTTAAAGGACTGGTAATGAGTACAAAACCTTTTATTTTTTTTCCCTCAAAACTGACAAGATACTGTTGGCACCATAACTGTCTGCCTTGTTTCAGTCTTGACGGACAGAAGACCTTTTAATACAGCCTTGATAGAAATTTGCCTTATTTGCCAATATTACTAAAATATGAGAATTGTGAAACTCCCCAAAACAAGAGCAGGTACAGCTGCAGTGCCCAGGAATGGCCTGTCATTGTGATAGTTGAGATAGTTTGTCGTTGTGATAGTTTTGTTGCGCTTCATTTATGTGCAGTAGCCCTCGGAACTACTGCAAATGGTAACTTACTGTCAGGAACCCTATATGAAAATAAAACATTTTGGAAAAATGAGAACTCAGGCTTACAGTAACAACTGGTGACAGATGCACCTGATTTTACATCATATTTAAATAATAATAACAAAACTACTTTTAGAAGAGCTTTTTTTTTAATAAAGAGAAAACACACCATAATATACAGGGCTGAAAATGGGTTAAGCCAGTTCACTTCTTTGCTTTGGGACAGATACATTTGTATTTTGAGCCAGCTACTGCCTATCCATGCTTCAGGTTATTCTTGGTTGTTAGAAAGGGAATGATAACACTAAGGAGAAGCAAGTAAGAATACAGATTATGAACTATGCTAAGGTCCTTTGGTGTAAAGGTTTCCTTTTTAAGTACCTCTAACCTGTACCATCTTGAAAAGTAGTTGAGGTGGACACTGGACTACTACTTAGTCTCTCACATTTATGATATATTAGAAAGGAAAGCATGTCACTGACAGACAAATGGAATTTTAAATATTTTTTTAGAACATGTTACATTTATAGAATTTACAAAGGTATAGAATACATATATAAAATCCCGTAATTCTAGGTAATTATTCACAATAAGGAGGATACGCTGTAAGATAGTGGATGCTGGTGTGTTTCACGCTATGAATTTGCCTCAAATAGTTCCTCGCATGAGAGACCAAATACAGTCTCATATATTTGCTATTTTTTTATAAATAGGACATATGAGGATGAAGGAGAGATGTGGAGCAGCTGGGAGAGTGGACAGATGTTATTTTCCAGTGGTGAATTTTGTGTGTCAGTTCTCAAAAAAAAAAAAAAATCCTACCAAAATGGGGGTGGAGTTGAGAGTGTATGGGTAGATTAGGAAAAACAGTGAAGGAAAAGGGCATAGGTGACATTTTTTTCCTTTTTGAGTTGCTCAAGCATAACACATTATTAGTTTGGGTATGACCAGTGTTATGAAAAGCCTGGACTGCAAATGGCAGGCGGGAATTGACAGTATACAGAGTAGAAGAGGTATCTAAATTGGTGTTCTGAGATCAGTGTTGGCTCTGGATTTACTTACTTCCTTGTTACAGATCATTAATGTTGTTAAACAAGACTTTTAATTAGATTTTCAAACATAAGATGTGAAATGATGGGAAATTGAAGAAAAATTAATAGAAGGGAAGAACAACACAAGATTCAATTTGATAAAATGCAGGATGCAAATATCTCTCTCTCCTAGTGATGAAGAGAAACCTTGAAAGGGAAAACATTGAAAGAGTGATAAGTAACAGCAGCCATACTAATGGGAGATCGTTAACGTTATGGAGTCAGGCATCAATGTTAAGGTGCCATGCAGTGCTCCTCATGAATGTACGTTACGACTCGGTAATAATATTGTCACAGGATTCCTCCTGCCCTCAATTTGCTTTGTATCCAGTGTACAGAAAGAATGATTTTCAGTGTTTTGGTTTCACTGTTCTCTGGAAAGACCCAGGTCCTATTTATGTTTTACTTGAGCAGTGTTCCTGATTTCTGCAAAGGCTTGCTCTCTGGTGCTGTCATTGCAACATGGTAAGTTGAGGAGCGTTAACTAAACACTATGTTTAGTATAGTGGATTACCTTCTGGTCTGAAACATGGAATGTAGTATTGTAGTGAGGCAACCAGTATAGTTTTGAACTGTGTAAAATGTGCCATTACATACTGTCCCCTTTTGTTGATAACAAGATGCAAAGTACCACATTTGATATCCCACCTTCACAAATATAGATACATTGCATGGAATCCAAAGAAGAATCTCAGGATGCTTAACAGATTGAATGATTTTGGATTTGTGGGAAGAATAAAAGGACAGAACTGAAGTGTATATATAGTTTGCTAAGTCATAAGTAGGAATTAAAGACAATAGCCATGTACCTATATTTTGAGAGTATGATGCTAGCAGGAAATACTGAATGTCATACAATGGGGTTATAAGGAGAAGGAATCATCTGATGATATGATGGGGGGTGGGAGGTTGACATTAGGGTAAGTATTTAGAAAAATCTGCAGATAATACCTAAGGAACTGGAGAGAAGTGCAAGGGGAAAATTCTGAAGTTCCTCTGCAGTTTGAAAAACTAAATGGAAGAGCTCGTTCTATCTTTTGGGGTGAATAAACTAGACTAGACTAGAATATTTCCGTTCAAAAGGACCTACAACAATCATCTAGTCCAACTGCCTGACCACTTCAGGGCTGACCAGAAGCTAGAGCGTGTTAAGGTCATTGTCCAAATGTCTCTTAAACACTGACAAGCTTGGGGCATTGACCATCTCTCTAGGAAGCCTCTTCCAGTGTTTGACCACTCTCTTGGTGAAGAAAGGCTTCCTGATGGCCAGTCTAAACCTTCCCTGGCACAGCTTTGGACCATTCCCACACATCCTATCACTGGATCCCACGGAAGGGAGATCAGCACCTCCCTCTCCATATCCCCTCCTCAGGAAGCTGTAGAGAGCAATGGGATTGCCCCTCGGCCCCCTTTTCTCCAAACTAGACAAGCCCAGAGTCATTAACACACTCAGAGGACAGCAGCTCCTCATAGGACAAGTAACAAGTGTACTTCCGAGTTTATTAGCCTAGTTACTTGTTTTTTCTATTTTTCTGAGTACATGACACGTTGTGTTCACCAAGTTACGTGTATATATTCTGTTCTTCCCAGTAAGTCGATCCCTTCATGACGTAGTTTTAGAAGGCAACATGTAAAGAGGAAGGATACAGTGGTTACCTTTACTCAAGTGGAAGCCACTTTGAAGCGCTCTTATCATCAAATTTACCAGTGCAGTGGGCTGTTACTGTAGCTGCAAACAAAAGACATGTACTTTACTTCTGTTACCTGCCATTATGGTTACTTAAATCTTAGTTGGCTCTTCTTGCTAGGTAATTATACAGAAGATTTCTGCAATAGAAAATGTATAGGAAGAGGGGTGGTTCTTAATAGATGCCAAGGCTCAGAAGTTGCCATTATATAATGTGCATTTCTGTAACTCCCTGAGTTGAAATGCTTCCATTGCATCTTTCATAGTTATTTACAGGTATTTCAGGTTTTAGCTGTATCTTTCTGCCCTCACCTCCAGATACTCGTGTCAAAAGCAAGGCAACAGAAGAGTTGTTCAGTATTCCTCCAGTACCTGTTACTGTCTGACTTACTGCTTCTTCTCAGTCAGCAGATGGTAAATGGCTTCTCGCTATTTCAAGTGCCATAATCATCAGTTTTCATTCTCTGACAGAGATTTTTCATTTGTTTTATTTCTTTGTTGGTATGTTGTCCTTTTCTGGAATGAAGCAAGAAGGAGACCAAAAAGTGGTTCAGTTTTTGGAAGGCCTTTTTGGCAGCCAAAGGTAGTAGTGCCAGCAGTAGTCTCCAGCCTGTTTGATGAGGGCATTAAATCTGAGTGTCTTGTTGGAAGGGCCTTATATCACCACCAGATAACTCCTCCCCAGCTATTTCTGCATAGTTCATCTGTCCTCTTAAGCTTTTAAGATTGTCATGTTTTAGTCTGTATTTGCTTGTCAGCAAATGTTTGAGTAATACTAAAATTAATTTCATTGCTGCTTTTCTTTCTTACCTAAACCACCTTTATTCCTTCTCACTCCCAGTCACAATACAGAGTCCTCTGGAGCCTGAAAAAAAAAGTAAAATTGTATTGTGTTCCAAATCATACAGTTCACAGGTTAGGGCCTCTTGGGTAGGGGGAGGGGAGGGAAGACAAGTCAAAGTGACAAAAATGGGCTAGATGGACTTCAGATCTAATATGTCCAATATCCTATTTCCATCAGGGAAGGAGGAAAAGAAACAAGATAAGTATATTGTGTGCTGGAATATTTTTCCTTGCTTTCAGCAGAGACTTCCCGAGTTAAAGTTTGCTTACCATTTAACTTTGCTTCCTTCAAATTAATTTCTTCTCTTTTTCCTACTACTCATGTTCTCATCATTTTCTGTTACTGTACAGACTCATGCCAGATAGTGAAAACTTAATATAATATGCCCCTCATGATACTCAGCAATACCCTGAATCTATACTTCAGTAGCAGTAAAATTGTTGTAGCAATCTTGGGTGTCAAAATTTAAACAAATGTCCAAAGTAATTGAAACTCTTTGAGGCTCTTGAGCACCTTCCCTTTTCTTAATCAGATTTAGTTTTGTTGCTGTATGTATTGAGGGCTTACTGAATTAAGACATCAGACATTTCAGGTACACTGGATTTTGTTCTCTTTTATAGGCAGGCCAGGGGTGCAGCTCTAGACTACCTGCTGTGGTGTATCATATCTTGATGCAAACTATATAATAAACATAGGTTCATTCAAATCTTGCAGAACAATTGTTGCTACTGAGTTTCTTTTAGACCTTAGTCTTGTTTTGAGTAGTTCCTCGTGACCAAGGTTAACTGATCTCTCTCACATTTTAGGAAAAATGAGCCTTTCTCTTATTTTGATCATCTCCACACCTGAAAGAGAATGAAAAATGGAGAAAGGGGTGAATAGGACAGAGCAAATAAAGATCACGTTTTTCAGCCAAACGTGTGGGGTTTGAAAACTTTTGAATCTTTAATTGGTGAATCAAATTTCTTTTACGCTGAGCACATTTGGGCACACAAACAGTGAACAGAGAATTGGAGTTCATTCAGATATTTTCTTTGCCAGGAAAAAAAGATCTACAAAACAGGAAAGCAACAGGCCCATGTATTGAGTTCTAAGCTGATCATCTATCAGCATGCCTTTTCAAATCATGTGGGCTTGACTTTTAAAGAAAGCGTCCTTTCGCAGGAAGTAAAATGTTGGTCTCATAGGTTTGTGCCACTGACTGTGGAGGAGTTGGAAATACCTTTTTTTCTGCTGAAGTTTCTTCTTGAGCTGGAGTAGAAGTGAATTGTTCAGCCCCTAGAATGGAGAACCAGGTTGCTGGATTTATTTTCTCAGTGCTGTTCTTTCTTCTTTCCTCACTCTCTCTTGTCTCCTTCATCCGTGTCGCCTGACACAAAACCCCAAAACACAAACTAAGCCCATAAATAGTCCTTATCCTTTTCAAGATTATCCTAGGTACTTAGCTCCAAGGTAAGAAATGTTCAAAACATACATTTTTTTACTGTATTTCCTGTTGTGTATTTTGGGGGTGTACTTACCTATGACAGGACTATAGAAAAAAGACAGGCAAACTCCAGCATTACATGAGCAAACTTAAGTTGTAAATATAACTGATAGTACATAACATCTGACAAGACAGTGAATTTATATTTACAGAAACATGGGTAAGAAGTTTAAGTAAACGTACCTTCAACTGATCATCAAAAGACATCTGTTAGAACACAAGAGAAAAAATTAAAAATACTTATCTTTAAAATTTGGAAAGCAGACGTGTTACCAATGGATGAGCAACGTACTGTTGCCCTCTGGAACTTTGGAATACTAAAAAAGTAGAGGAAGAAGGAAAGCAGGATGAAGTATATTTTGTTCTGATACTTTTGGGAAAACAGTACACATTAAAGCACAGCTCTTGATGCTTTCAGATGTAACAAACACAACAAAACAAAGACTTTTTTTTTTTTTCTTCTCCACTTGCTATTATGAAGAAATTTATCACTTAGTGTTGCATGTACATCTTCTACTCCTGTATATATGTGTTTAATCTTTGTTTTCACAGGCATAGAATGTCAAGCAAACCAAGCATCAGCTACCTCTGAAGAGTGTACAGTTGCATGGGGCGTCTGCAATGTAAGGAAAACTGTTTTATTACGGAGCTCATGTGTGGTTATGCTACCCGCTTTTTCATGACTCGGGACAAAACGAGTGCTATAAAATGTTTCAGAGAATCTACCAGAAAAAAAAAGAACTTTAAACACCATATGTTGAGTAGAGTGTAGAAAGGAGAGAGAAGAAAAAAAGAAGTGAAAGTTGGAGAGGCGTAATACGGAAGACACAGAAGAGAAGAGGATAGGCCTTTACTCTCCTTTTTCTTTTCTTTTTTAAAGAATAATAGATCTTTCATTCTGAGCATGAGTTTCCGGATCAAGAGTCTGCCTAGGAGCTATGCTTTTTTTTTTTTTTCCTGGTAATAGGATTATGTGGATGTCAGCATGCTTGATTTGTCTTTGTGCAGGCTGATTCGAGGAGTCAATATGGGGTAACAAGGTGATTTGCTTCCCCTTTTAGAGGAAGATCAAATTGGTTCTAGTGTATAATCTCCAGTTCTTCAATTTGTTGCTGTATACACTTCTTTGTACATGGTCCCACTAGCATGTGAACTCAAACTTGCATACCTCTTAGCTAGCCTGGGCCTGAGTTGGAAGATAAAATTTTCCGTAATGGAATAACTACCTGTTCCTCAGTCCTGTCCTCACTATGGTGTGGGATCAAGTTACAGCGTGATAATACTGGAACAGGATTATAAATGTTGCAATTCTGTTTGTAGAGGACAAAAGCAACTTTTTTAACCATGTAAGAATACTCTAGTGTCATAATTATGTTTTTGTGTGCAAGAGTTACCACAAGTGGAAGCTTGTTTTGGAGGAGCTGTATGGGGTATGGAAAAGAGTGTCCTTATTAAACACATAATAGAGACTTTTTTTTTTCTTTCTAATTTTGCAAGTTCTTTTTTACTCAGGCTTTCGTTTGTCCAGAAGACTGGCAGGAAGCTTCAGCATGTATATGTTCATATCCCTGCTACTCACCGTGATACCCTCTTTCTTGTCTTTCTGACTGTGCTTCTTATCAGCATCTGCTCTGCCAGTTTTAGCAGCTGCTAACCTCTGTGTTCTCCCTTCATCAGAAGTCAGTCAGTTGCCACTGCATGCACTCTGGAACAGGCTCCCTGCTGTCATTTCACTAATGTTCCTTCCCTCCCTGAAAATGTGGATCAATTTCTTGGTGTTTACCAGTGAGCTGGCAGATTAGTCCTTTCCACCTTTGTCTGCAAACAATTACTAATCTCTTCTTACTGTGATGCTTTCAGTGGTAGTTTTCACCTTGAAATACATTCATGTGTTCTGAAATGATGTGATCTGAACTTTCTCTTCCAGCATGCTTTCCACTTCCACTGCATCTCTCGCTGGCTCAAAACTCGCCAAGTATGTCCGCTGGACAACAGGGAATGGGAGTTCCAAAAGTAGGTATCCTGCACACATTTCAAGATGAAAAATCCGATTATCCTTCTGTTACTAGAAATTATCAATGTCAGATATGTGGGTAATCTCTCTCATTTGGGGGTCTGAAGGCATAGTTGCTGTTGGGAAAGGGTTTTTTCCCACATTGCTGTATAGGGACCTTTCCTTAGTCACTCGGTACTAAATGAGCTCTGAAGGAAGCTCAAACAGCTGTGGGGTAAGTGGGAGTTGTTAAAAAGTAGTGATTTCTATTGACATTCTCTGTAAAGAATGGAGAGCAGAAGAGAAATGGAATTCACTGAAAGTGGAGCCTCAAGTGAATACTGTGCTGCCGCATGAGCAATTTCAGTTTAGAAAATGACCTGAATTTAGCTGCTTATGTTCCAAAGCGTTTCTGCTGAGGTGCCAGACATCTTACTGGGTTCCTCTCTATCTTGGTGATTTGTTTTATAACTCTCATAGGCTCAGAGATTAATACAGCTGATTTCCTAACATCTGGAAATCAAATGTCCATGTAGCCATTGCTACAGCCTTGGCCCATTTATTCATAATTTCTGTATTCTTTGTTTTGTGTTGTGTTTTTCAAAGGTCTGTTTTTAGAATAATAATAGGAGATCTGTGGATGAGTTTTTGAGGGGTAATTGTATTTTTGAAAGGTAATTGTACATCGAGAGTACTTAAGTAGTTTGCCTGTCACTTACTTCATTCTGCACCATTTATCCATTAATCTTTTAACTGTGGATTTTCCCTCTCCCCACCCCTTTTTAAAAGGAAAAAAAAGAAATTCTAACCAGAGTCCAGATTAAAACAAAGCAAAAGAGATATTATAACTGTTCAGGGTTGTCTTCGGCATCTGGTTCACAATCACTGCACAAATGATCATTGACATGACAACTTGAGTGCCATAGTTTTGATATTAAGATGTTTTAACAACCACTTAACGAAAACTAAGCCCATGTCGCCTGGCTAGTGACTTAATATTGCCTGGGCAGCATGACAGGAAATGGAGACGTGAACTAATGTGGTTTTATGTGTCTGGGGCTATGACAAGCTTTGGCCTTGTTTTCATGCAGGATATATTTGAAGTGGGATTCAGGGCAAAAGATGATGATACTGAGGGTCTCTTGCATATGATACTGTGGATTGCTCAGGCTCTCCACTAACTAGTATCTGGATAGACTTCTGGGGGGAAGTGAAATGTGGAGAACTTCCTAAGGTTTCTTTAACATAGCATTTCACCTTCATCTGGTTTACATGTTAACTACATTGTGGTAGAATGAGAAGAAATCTGCCCAAATCAGCAGTAGTATGAAACATAATTTTTAAAAAAGCATTAACATATCATATATTTGCAGGTATGGACACTAGAGAGATGCTCACCATGCTTCTTGTTACGTCGTCAGACTCAGTTGTTCCTGTCACTATGGGTTTGTTTTAGCAACTTGAAAAATCAGTAATGTATACGATTCTTCTTTAATCTTAATTTCTCCTTATTGTATACCATTGAATAAAATCTTGCTGGAGCTTCCCGTCAAAGTTTTTTGTCTTGTGTTTGGGACTGGGCAGTCAGTGAGGGAGGGAGGAGGATTATCTGCAGACCAGGGACTTAAGCTAGGCAACTCTTCAGCTGGGCAGCTCTTCTTGTCACTGTGCCCAGTTTTTGACTGTGAGTTTGGTCTTACTCCCACGCAGCTGAGAACCACACCTCTGGCTCACTGAGGTTGGCATTAAGCTGCACTGTGGAGTGCAGCGGGTGCAGGAAGTGGCCTGGCTAGGTGTAATTTATGCACATAGCATTTCATGTGCACATGCTTTCCTGCAGCTGAGTTGAAATGATGATCTAGAAAATTAGGGGTTGTGTCATTAGTAGAAACTTCTCTCTCTTGCTTCTGCTCTCGAGTTTGACGAGACCAGCTCTCCTGCAGAGGAAAATTTCACTAGCTATTCCCAGTTCCATCTGTTTAGCTACGGGGACGTTAACTGAATGTTAGTTTTTACCAGCGCTCATAAAGTACTTTCATGTGTCAGGTGAACGTAAACTCAGGAAATTCATGTGCTAGATTGGCTGCAAAGCAAAAAGAAAGCAGTGTATAAACAAACTAATTCTTGTTTGAATTTTTACTGGTATTTTCCCAGTTCAAACCAAGCTGTGGTTCTTACTGGCCAAAAATTGTTACTCTGAAAACTACATGATATTTTGTTTGGTGTCTCCTGTGCCAAACGGCCTGGTATCCTCCTCACTGCATCAAGTTTTGGCCCCTGTGTCAACAGTCTCAGCAGATGCCAGGAACTCAAACAAGGCCCAAGAAATTCCTCCTGCTACAAGAGGCTGTGTCCCTTCACGTCAGCAGCGGTAGATACAGTAAATTTCTTTCATCGGCTGTTCATGATGCCACCTTTGGATCAACACTATTTTGCTAGTTAGGATGGGAAATTTGATAGCGGATGTTAAACATTAGTGTGCTATCATGATAGGGAATAAAGATGGTCATTAACAGAACCAACATTTGCAGGTTTTTCAGTCATTGCTGGGGCTTTCTTTAATCTGCAGCAAGCAAATGTCAGGCTTATTTTATCAGCTGGTGTCAGTGCTCTGAAATGATACGGTTCTCTGGTTTTGACCCTGAAGAAGGAAAGAGGAACGTCTAGAATCAGGTAAGTTTATAGACAGACAGTTTATTTGCCAGTTTTAGTTGGTAGAAAGCTCATCCTGAATTTGCAAGGTAGTTTTGGTGATGGAGGCAGGAGTGGAACACAAGGGGAGAGGGAAAATTATCTCAATAGTGGTCAAAGCATTTATCCAGGCAGCAGGGTATCCAGGTTAAATGCCATTCCCTGAAATGTGGACTCCCATTTAGTGTCCTGTCCAGCCAAGTAAAATGTCGGATGTCCCCGTTTATGATTGTTCATTTTGTTTGCAGTGTTTGATTGTGGTTTTTTTTTTTTTCAGGACCTGGAACCCAGATGCCCACTGATCAGGGAATTTATGTCCTTGAGAACTTTGTTTTGGGTCCAGCTACATCATTCTGGTTCGCCTCCCTTTGGTCTGTGCAGATTGCCCTGAGCGTATTTTTTTAGCTGGGACAGACACATCAGTGCAGGCATTTCCCTCTCCTTTGTGGTTTCATGTGCATTTGCTTGAGGCTGTCCCCGCAAGAAGATGGGGGGGGGGTTGGGGGGTGTGTATTTTTATTGCTTTATTTTAATGGATCCCTCCAAGTGGAGGGATCCATAAAAATACAGGCACTCTGCCCCCCACATCCTTTGAACCTCTGTTCTGCTGCCGTGCGTCAGGCCCTAACCGTTAAATTCAATTTCAGATTGCTGTTGTAGCGTCGGTCCCAAACCTGCTTTTCCCAAATGGAAAAATATGGATTGTAAAGCAGCAATTGCTTACAGAAACAGGAAAGGAAGATCCTTTTCCAGCTGCTGCCCACTGGAATGGCGCTGCCGCCGGCCTCCCCCGACCGCACCGGGCCCGAGCTCTGTGGCGACCCGGCGCAGCTCCAGCACAGGGCTCTGCCGGCGGCCCCGCTTTCCGTAGCACCTTAAGGGCCGGGTTTGGGGGGGAGGAGGAAAAGCTTCAGCAAGCAACCCGAGAGAGAAGCTCCGTGGCACAGGCTGCGCCAAGCGAAGGTAAGATTTCCCTGGGGTGTGGGTGCTCCCTCAGGCCGGCATCGCTCAGTCCTGACTTCTACGGTTTGGCCTCCGCCTCCGCTGGACGTGGTGGTGGTGGGAGGGGGAAAACCCATTTGTTCCCGCCGCCATTTTCTTTTTTTCCTGAAGCAACAATCGTTTTCGACTACAGCTTTCCCTTTTTTGCACAATAGAGAGCTTTCTGGGGTGGAAGGAGGAATTGGACACATTTCTAAGCATCCTGGGGGGAAGGTAGGTGTGCAGGGGAGAAATGACGGCTGTGTCTGCTGTTTGCCTGTCCTATAAATGGAGGATGCATCTGAACTGTGGACCCAAAAATAAAATCAGGAGAAAATGACAGAACTGAGAAGAGTAGAATATCCTGCAGCTGCCCGGCCTAGAGAAAAACAAACTGCTGGTAGACCTGCTGTGGAACAGAAGGCAATTTTGACATTTCTGATGCTTTCCACGAGTTCGTCAGCCGAGGCAAGCTGCATTGCTGAGCAGGCCAAAATGACCAGACAGCGGCTTCCTTCTCTCCCCTTTTGGAAAGGAGGCAATGAGCTCCAGGTGCTGCGCGGCATCGGCTGTGCCTCGTGCGCCAAATCCCTCGCTGCTCCTGCGTTAAAATGCCAGAACCAGGGTGGCGTGGGCGCTGGGATGGCATGCTGGGCTGGGCACGAGTAGGAGGGGGGCGGAGGAGAGCTTCCCCATCAAAAGCACGCTACGGGCCGTACATTAAAAAAATGGCAGGCCCTCAGGAGTCTGCTGGTTGAAAGGTTGTCTGTTGTCTGAGAGAAAATGGCTCAAGCCTCAACCCGTTTGCAGCGACGCACCATGGAGGGAACTTTGTGATTGTGTCCTCCCGCCTCGCTCAGATAGGGAGGGAGTATTCGTGGAGATGCAGATGTTTGGGTTGGAATGGGGAAGATTTGCAGCTGCTTTGGGCGGCCCTGTGCACGTACCCCTCGTAGGGGAGCCCTGGGAGCTGCTCCCACCGCTGTGCGGTCGGGCACGATGGTGAAACCCCACACCCACATGGCAAAATACACCTTCAAGGGGGGGGGGGGGGGGGGGGGCAGGAGTAGCCGTCTGCACCTGTGTGTGCAGGCAAGCGAAGGCACCAGCATCAGCGCTCGCCCACTAGCTCCTAATGAAGAAGCAAATGGCATCCCAAGGTGGTCTGGGGCCTCAAAATGCTCAGCGAAGCTGATGTGAAATAAGCCGAGGAGCACCGGTGTTGTGTGAGCTGGAGCAATGCAGGCAGAGAGCCGAGCTTCCAGGAGGGGAGCACCCACATGGGGAGATCTGCACTGTTTCTGGAAAATTCCCTCCTCCAAAGGCATCAGGGCAGAGAATGGCAGCAACACCACTTCCCTGACTGACACCACCATGGGTTTCATTCCCTCAGCTAAAAAAGGAACAGCCAAGAAGAATGGGTTGCAAGATAACTCAAACAAGTGATGGGCAGAGACCAAGATTAAGTCACTGCCTGTGCTTGCCAAGACACTGGTCCCATCAGCAGGCAGGTGAGGAGATGCCCCGGCCGGTGGGGACTACTCTTATTGGAGAGCACAAGCTCTTTCCTCAGCAGTGTGAGAATGCTCCCACGTTGTTCTTGGGTGGCAGGAACGTGGTGCTGTCACGGGACAGCAGAGGCACTTTCCAAGTGCAGAGCTGATGTCCCTGAGTGGCACTTGGCCAGCTCGCTGCCGGTCCTTGCCCTGGCTTGCTGTGAACTCCCATACTTCTGCCCTACGGCAGCTGCTTTGCTACCCAGTGTAGGGATGAGCCCCTTGGTGGTGAACAGTGAGGCTTTGGGTGGGCTCAGTGGGCACTGGCACCTCAGGTTGCTCAGCTGAGCCTGGGTGAAAGCTGCCACTGCCCAGAGACCCCCGGGCCATGGCTGGAGAGAAGGAGGAGGAGGTGACACTGCTGAAGGCATTTTCCTACCACAGGTTCTCCAGGAGGCTGGAGAGGAGAAGGAGGATGGGTGTGCAGACGCATCCCTTGTCTCCCTGCTTTGCTCACCCTGTTCTCCTCCCCACGAAACCTGCAGAAAGAGCAAACTCTTCTTGCCTGCTTTTGCTTTTCCTTGTAAGCTCGCTCTGCCAATACTGCTGCTGGCTTTAATCTGCTGTGAGGAAACACGCTGTTCCCTGCACCACACACTCTATACATTGCTCCGTTTTCTTCCTCAACGCAGCAGCTTTTGCAGCAACCCTGTTATTGCTCACCGTGGGGTGTCTCAGGCGCATGGACAGCGTCCATGCAACCCTTGCCCCACCACCTCCCCCTCCCCATTTCCTGCTGCTCGCTCTGGTCTGTTTTCTGCTCCCCTCTTTCACTTCTCCCCTCTCTGATCCAGTTCCCATGGAGATCCCAAGGCATCAGCGGTGCTGTTCCTCCCTCCACAGCCTGAGGGAGGGTGTCAGTGGGATGATTTTTGGCTCACCTGGGCTGAAGTTGCATCCAGTCCCAGAAGTCAAGCTACAAGTTGCTGGGAGGTCTGTTTTGTCTCTGTCACTCGACTCCTTCACAACAACAGGACATTGGCCTATTGTCTCATTTTTTTCAGCTGCTTTCCAGCCTCTCCCCATCAGACGCAGAAGGGGATGCTGCCCAAAGCTCAGCCTGGTGGCAGTGTAGCTTGCTGGGCCTTCACATTGTGCCATCGCCAGCAACGGTCCTGGCTGCGAAAGAAAGAAAAAAAACTTTTGAGGTTGCAATGCAAAAAATCTGTTGAAAATTAGCAACAGCTCATTCTGAAAAGGCCAGATCTGAGTGTGGGGATGCACCACTGCCTGCCGCCTTGCTGAATTTGCTCACTCCACTGCAACAGCCTGGATTTTGCCTGTTTGCTGCCTTTTCTTTCCATACGACTGTGAACATGGCTCAAT